ACTGCTTGTTTTTGCAGTCAAATGCTACATAGGTAGGCATTTTTATGTCGCATCTCTATTGGAGTTGGGAGTACTAAGATGGCGGCCGGTGGCTCCACTTATTTCGGCCAATCAGCAATCCAGTGGATTGGAAGTAATGTTTTAGCAACTGTCCACATTCCACTATCTACTGTTGCCAACTCCAAGTCCAACTGTTTGTGGGCTACAGACAAATAGCCACATTTATTTGTTTGAATGAGTGGTGATTTAAAATGCATCTTGTTCCATCAGAAACCAGTGGAACTTTTGCCTTGATAGGTATCTAGGGATTGCAGGGACGTGTCTCTATCGTTAACATTTGTTCAAAGCTTTAAATTAAATATATAAATTAATGAGAGTACCAGTTTCTCAATGAATACTGTTTGATTCTGGAACTGGTACTATCATTTGTCCTTGACAATTTATTAGGCGAAAACATCTGTTTATTTGGAACTTTACAAGTAGCACTAGAAGTTATGATTAGCAACAACTTCACACCTTGCAGATTTAGACTGTGTTTGCCCGACGTCCCAGAATCTCCTAAAACATGGGAATATACTGAACTTTCTGTATATTTTTTCAATTTTGGGCATATCCATTTCTACCGGCCTTATGATTCCTGACCAGGAGGTAGCCGTTAGAGGCTAACTGCCCCTCGTTACCCCCTGTATACTACACGACGCAGGATGCATGACCAGGCTGAAACTTGGACTGATTTAAAAAATCCGAGAAGGGCAAAATTTGTGCCATGTATGCCTGCCTTTAAATAGAGCTGGGCTCTATCTCAGTCGGAGCTACGCTACCCACCTAAGGAAATCGTGTCAAGTGTGATCATCCCTAGTGACTTTTGATGAGCGCTAAACGCCACGACCTCATCCAACATGATTTTCTGTCGGATTGGAATAAAAATCGGATTCCGGGTGTGTTCTGGACTTCATTTGTTGTGTGGTTAAAATTGATTCATTCTTTATTATGAGAGCCCTTTTTGGTATCCAAAGGTTTTTTGTGTTCTCAGTGTCAAAAATCTCTCCTTCTCCAACCCTCCACCAGCCCACTCACAAGACAATACTCCACAAGGGGGTTGTACCAACCATGTGGAGGACAAAACACCAAATCTCACAGTTTTTTTCTCTTTGGGGGATTATCACAGGCCAGTACATATCTGAGAAGCACCAGCAGGGAAAGACCCATGCTAATGACCAGGTCTTAAAACTGACCAAAAGCTAAAGCCTGGCATACACTGTACGATTTTTTTAATCGTTGCCTGCAGCCACAGCTCACACTGTATAATAAAACCCTGCGGTTTCATTGTAAGTTCACAGCTCACGTTGGATGTTCTCACACTGTATGGCCTGACGCTCTGATGTGATTTACCTGCTCAAACTTTACGTCTAAAAACCACATCAGACTCAGCTCTGCAGTGAGATGGCGCTCACTTAAAAAGTGGGGACATTTTGAACAGCTTCTACTGTAGTTCTGCGTGTTTTGTGGTGTTATAAGTCTGCAGTCTGTGCCCTAGACTCTCTCCCATTGAATATTATGTGCAAAAGGGGAGAGCATAGCATAGACTCCCTCTTTTTAGCATGGAACGTACATGCTTTAAGCATAACCCAGCTTTTAGCAGTTTTAACCATGTTCTTGTTAGCACAACACGACACCCCTTTACTGCATAGCACGTATTGCCATTCAAGCTCAAAATTGCTGGTGTGCTGCAGCTGTACATCACTAAAGCGCATAGTTGTGCATCATTCCTACCGTGAATGTGCCATAGCTGTTTGTCCACTACCATCCTTGGCCCTTCTTCTTAGACTTCACATTCTGTAGGCTCTGCTGTGGGAAAGGAGCAGTGGAGGTAGGGTTCTAGCCAAACAAGGAGCAAGGAGGAGGGACCTGTAAGGTGAGCTTCCTAAAACGTAAAGGCTAAACATCCTGAATACACTGAATACTTCTGATTCTTGGTTCTGATCTGAAAGAAAATCGTGTTGTTACAGTTCAAAACGTTAAGCACTCATAGAAGGAGCTTGCGTAGCTCTGACTAAGATAGACAGAAGGTCTGTTTTAGTTGGACAAGGCAACAATTCAGAGGAAATTTTTCATGGATCTGAAAGGAAGAGAGGCGCGGTTTGAAAGTAAAACATTTGCTTTGGGAGAAATACAAACTAAAATGTGTGAATCTCGCATAAACAATAAACACATTTGCATTTTTTTTAAATGTATTGCATTATCCATCATAGGAAATCAAGCAGACAGAAACTGGATAATGTAAAATAGTGATAATCTTTAAGCTTTCTAAGAAAAAAATGATAATAATAAGGGACAGTACAGAAAAATCGCAGCTTGTCACTCTCCCCTATTCCTGACAAAAAAAACAACAACATGTAAACCATCTCATCTCGGTTCAGACTCTGTCCAGTAAAAGGAAAGGCTCAAGCTTTGCCAAGCTTGATCTCTATATTGCTTGCCGTTTGGTGCGCATCCGGGAGGGTGATGAGTGGAAGACCGCACTCAACACCCCAACCGGTCACTATGAATATCTAGTGATATCTTTTCAACTCACCAATACAACAGCGTTTTTTCAGAACTTTTTCAATCGGGTACTCAGGGAGATGGTGGGTCACTTCGTCTTCGTCTACAATGACGACATTATGATCTACTCTCACGACTTGGAGTCCCATAAGCAACACGTCAGAGCTGTACTGTTTTGCCTTTTACAGAAACAGTTTTTTGTAAAGGCTCAGAAATATGAGTTTCATTTAGACACTGTCATTTCTGGGCTTTGTGGTCCCCGTTGACCAGATATCTATGGATTCCTTGAAGGTGCACGCAGTCACACACTGGCTGGTTCCCAGGGATTGGAAGTGACTTCAGAGGTTCCTGGGGTTGGATAACTTTTACCGCAGGTTCATCAGGAACTACAGTGAGGTGGCTACGCCCCTCCATGCCCTTACATCAGTCAAGGTTAGGTTTTGTTGGAACAATCAGGCAGATTGGGCTTCTTAAAAAAGACTCAAGGCCGTATTCTCCTCGGCACCACTTCTGGTGTCCTCAGACCACGAGAGACAGTTTATTGTTGAGGTGGATGCTTCCAGTACTCGGGTCAGGATGGTTCTTAGACTGGAGGCTAAGGACGGGAGGATTCACCCATGTGCTTTCTTCTCTAAGAAGCTGTCAGCTGCAGAACATAACTATGATGTTGGGGACATAGAGTTGCTGGCAGTCAAACTGGCTCTGGAAGAATGGAGTCACTGGTTGGAGAGTTCCAGTACTGCATTTCTGATCTGGACCAAAAACAAAAATTTTGAGTTCCATGAGGTCTGCTAAGAGACTCAATCCCAGAAGGGCGCGGTGGGCACTGTTTTTCGGTAGTTTCAATTTTTCTGTCTTACAGACTCGTGTCCAAGAATGTTAAATCTGATGCGTTGTATCTGTGAGATGTAAGATCACTGTGGTTGACATTGGGAAGGAGGTCCGGGAGGCTCTTCTCGACCAACCTTCTCCCACTGACTGCCCCAGTGACCCTTGTTTGTTCCTGAAGCTCTCAGGGAGAGGATTTTAGAGTTTTGTTATGCTACCCGTTTGTTCTGTCATCCTGGTGTGTCCAAAATCATCTGTTTTGTTGGGTCTCAGTTTTGGTGACCTTCTATTGTGTGATGATGTGCAGGAGTTTGTGGCAGCCTGCTTTCTTTGCAACCAGGATGTCCAGGATGTCTAAGATATCCAAAAGAAGGTATCACCATCGGTTAACCGTGCCAAGCTTGGTTCGTACGGTAATTAATACCTCACGTTAGCACGGTAATTGCCTCCTATGGGCAATCCACACGATACTACAGTTGTCAAGGCCGGAATGATGCGAACAAAAATGGCGGAGCCCCTTACATTCAGGAACTTATGTGCCTGGATACCGTCCTCCACCCAGAATTCAATGAGAGCCTCAGTCTCGGCATCATCCCAGGTCACATCACCCTCTTTTGATGGCACTAATTGTTAATAAGCTGAGAAGAAGTCATGTTTGCTCCTCCTCCCTAGAAATGAGTCATCTGACTATAAATAGGAGATGATGCGGTCTGCTCATTTGCTCTTTGTTATCAGAGAACTGAGCCACAGATGAACCGTGCCCAGCCCTACTGTTGAACTAGTATTAGATTTAGTGTGGTTCAGTTGTGTCTGGCACGGTCCATTTCAGTTTCATTCCATTTACACTCAACAGTTATCTTAGTTACTGTTCTCGCCACTGTTTCAAAAGGGTAGAGTAAATGGGGCTTAAGCCAGGGATTCCCTACTCATACCTCTAGTGGTCCTCGAGTGAATTGCAAGGGGTACATGTAAATATTTGATTTCTTAGGTATTAAAATAAAATAGGGCTGGGATCTTTTTTTGTTTTGTGAGGACCCAATTGAAAAATTATACACTTTTGCTTAGAAGCTTTTATCAACCAAAAAGTAAGTTCTTCTTTGAGTTAATCTTAAACTGAGGGATTGCCTTCGACTCAATGAGTCGATGCAATCAACTGGTTTACCTTGGACAGACAACTTTTAATCAATTTGAATGGATGATCTCGTAAACTGTAAAGTGCCTTGAGATGACATGTGTTGTGAATTGGTGCTATATAAATAAACTGAATTGAACTGTGACACACTCACAAAGAAGAAAAAACAGACGTGATGCAGAGAACAGCCTGGGATCAGCTGTTTTTCACACTGAGCTACAGTATCCGAGCTCATCAAAGCAGCTCCTGTGTCTTGATGAAAAAAAATAAAGCTAATTAAGTCAGTCTAACCATAATTCTTGTTCACTATTCATCAAGTTAAAATGTGATTATAAGGGGGTACTTGTAACTCTAGTAGTACGAGTACTCCCTTAGAGGCGATCCAGTTTTAAAAATAAGTATAACATGATTTTATTTCACATTTATTTTGATTCCTTCCTAACTTTCAGGCAACATATTTATGTTTTTTATTTGGGATGGAAAGCCTAAAATTTAAATGCTCAATTAATAGATTAAGTAGTATAGCTTTTATTTTATAATCAGTTATTGTACATTCCACTTTTGGACAATCATCAATACTTTTGACAATACTTACTCATGGTAAGACAAAATGTCCAAAGGGGTACACAAGTCAAAAAAGGTTAAGAAACACTGGTCTGAGCTGTTGCAGGCATCACCCTGAAAGCTCTACTGGCCTGTAAACAACCCCACCCACCCGCCACTGCCCATCCTCCCACATTTCTGTGTATGAGTCTCATATCTCTTTAAGGTATGTTAAGAACAGAATAAATATGAAAAATAGTCCAGCTGTCATTTTCAGCAAATACAGTAGTAAACATTGACTATTTCACATTACACACTCATATTCTTCCTTAATCATGCATGTTGTGTTTTAATTTTACTTTTCAGTTATATTAATACAAATAATTTATATCATCACTTTCAATTCATGATTAAATTAAAATATATCAGATTAATACATTATTTCCTATAAAATTCAAAATATATAAAAAAGAATGAGTAAAAAAATAAATATACTCTTCAGAAACATAAAAACCATTCCAAGGTTATAATCACTGCAAAAAGGGAACAAAGTGCAATGTTAGTGGTGAACTTAGAAAGTACATAAACTTGTGAGAAATACTATCATACCATAAAATTCTACTTACTTTATTCCAACATCCTAGAACAGGTAAGCCATCATCCCCCTATAAAGACAATAACTGAATGTAAAAATTATGGACATCAATCTTTTTCAACCTTTATATTTTTAACCCAAACATCCACAGATCATCAAAAAACCTCTAACATATAAGAGCTGTGCATGCTTCATTTATTGATCTGCCACATACATAAAGTATCAGTTAGGATATTCAAATATAGAGAAAAGATTCAATCAAAAACATTTTGCTTTCCCTGTAACTGCCACATTATTTGGGGGATGGGGGAGTGTGATGCAGGGGACGTTGTTCAGTGCTGGGGCCTAAATGCCACTGATAGGGTCTCCCAAGGCAAAACAAGCTCTTGGTGACAAAAAGCCCTTAAGATGACTAAAAAACTGAGGTACACCCAGCATGGTGGAGCTGCCACTCCACCTTGGAGCCAGGCTTGGGCTTAAGGTTGGTCAGCGAGTACCTGCTGGTCCAGTTGTTCCTCACGAACCCAGCCGGGCTCAGCTGGAAGGAGCAACATGAGGGCCACTATCTGTAGGTGTAAAAATGAGGGACTGGTACAGTCAAAGGCGGGGGCATAGGTGGCCTGATTTCACTGACACTTCAACTGACTCTGGGGATGTGAAAGGTTTCCTCCCTGGTGGGAAGGGAGCATGAGCTTTTTTGGGAGGTGGACTGATAAGAGCTGGAAATCGGACTCGCCTCCACACATAGCATGGGCTCCAGAACCCAGATCTTTGAGAGAGCTTAAAATCTCTACTCCACTCGAGTGGCCAGTGGGGAAAGGCTGAGGGCGAAGTAGGGTTCTCAGCCGCCTCATGTTGGAGTTTACCCCAGTGGACGAGAGGGTTGCATGCCCTCACGTTTGGATAGAAGGGAGATCTCTGACCGTTGATTTGGCTTATGAAGGGGTGGGGTTGATAGGTCATGGTAGTTTGACAAATCAGTCTACAGGTGTTATGTAGATCTGGAGAAGGCATTTGACCGTGCCCTGTGGGGAGGCGCTTCAGAAGAACAAAGTGAGGGGCTCTTTACAAGGGGCCATCTTTTCTCTGTCCAAGCGGAGCAGGAGCTTGGTCCGCATTAACTTGGACCTGTTCCTGGTGCATGTTAAACTCGTACAGCGCTGCCCTCTGCCACTTGTCCAAGGGTAGTAGATATGGAGCCATCAAGTCATCTCTATGTCATGTATTACTTCTGCCCAACCACTGAACCAGGTGAGTCAAATCTGCACAATTTAGTTCACAGATTTCACTGACCGGGTTCAGTGGCTGGCCAGAATAAATCCATGATATAGATATGACTTGGTGACTCCACATCTCCCACCTCTGGCATACACTGGGGTGGTTACTGTGTGAAGCAGCTGCAATGACAATCAGCTCCTCCAAATCCGAGGCCATGGTTCAGAAAAATGCTGGCTTATATCCTTCTGGTTGAGGAGCTCAAGTATGTTGGGGTCCTGTTCTCCAGTGAATGGAGAATGTTGAGTTGGAGATGGATAGACAGATTGGGGCGGTTGCTGCTATTATGCAAACGCTGCACCTATCCGTTATGGTAAAGAGAGACCTTAGAGAGAAGCCAAAGCTCTCTGATTTCAGATCGTAGAGCTAAATAAGTAAATAAGATCAAGGAAAGTAGGTTTGACACAATATATTATATTGAGCCTTGTCTCAACCTATGAGTTTAGACAAACGTTTTATTATACAGTAAATAAAGTTTCAGAACCAATTGTTTACTGTTGCACTGATTTTTATTTTTATTTCCTATCATGCAAGAGAAGAGGACGAATTGAACATAATATTCTAGTTAAGGTTAGTCTAGTAAATTAGTCCCACCTGCCAACGGCGCAAATCATTTTTACTTTTGAGTGGTCTTGCCTCGATCAAAGCCTCAAGCCCTCGAACTTGCGGGCCAATCACAACACAGAGATGGGTTTTGAATTTATGGATGCAAAGTGGGTGGGGTTTTGAGGGCGTGACAACAAAGCTATGCGAAGCTGGAGAAAGCATAACAAGGAAGATGGCAACAACTATTGAACAGTTCTTGTTTGACTCAGCTTTGGAATCAGTTTAGGAAGGATTAGAATTGGGGTTTTCCTTCAAATGTGAGCAGGAAGAGGCTCTACGCTCATTCATTTTAAAGAAGGACGGGTTCGCCGTTTTACCAACAGGCTGTTTGTTTACACTCCACCACCAGCTTTCTGTCACGCTTACAGTCATTTGCTCTCATTGGTCAGAGCGTTGGCCAATAGGCACAGACATGGTTTGAAAAACAACTGGTTGTTCTCATCAACAATCTTCCTATGTCTCATTCATTGGGGCCAGATTAAATTACACATTTAATTTCACATTTAGTCTGATTTTATCAGGCTAAGTTAACATGTCTAACCAAATTTAGCCTAAAAAAGGCAACTTGGGTCACTGTGACAAATCAGCAGCTGATTACTGTAATCCAGCCCACTTGTAGGCTGATACTATCTTGTGAAATATCAGTTTTATGAACATATCAATATTTAGTGCTTTGACTTGTTTTTTAAATTATGTATTTTCTTATTACTGGTTGGTAAAGATGACCCTTTACTGTAATACTTAGAACAGACCATTCTGATTGACATTCTGGACATTGGATCTCCAAAGCTTCCCACAGTCTAGGGATGAGATTAGGTGAAGATTATCTTTTTTCCAATTTAGAAAGCGGCACATGCATGCAGCTACACCAACCCAAAGTGAAATGAAGGCAGTTTTTGTTAGTAAGACAAAACAAGAGAATAAGTTTTTTTTTTTACTCAGAAGGTTAAAGAACAGAAACATGAGTTATGGGGGAAAAAATACTACTTGAATTGCAGATTCATCAAGATTTTGGTTGCATACTTCATTGTGAACAATTCCATAAAAAAATCTATGATACTTGAATCCAAAGACGTTCTGAATGACAGTAGACGTTTTTCAAAAACAGTTGTTGTCATGATCTTTGCATGATGACAGAATTATTCGTTTATTTTCTCCTCCTGCCTATCTCTGCCCAGTTTTCATTATCATTCATCGGATCCACCTGTTCCAGTTCATATTTAAACTGCCTGGTCCCAGCCATCAGTGGCAGATTTTTCGAGCTGTAGGGGAGAGTTCTCTAGTGTACCCAGTTTTTTATTCTGATTGCCTGATCCTGACTAGCTTCTACTCCTGGACTTCTAAGTTTTGCCTGCTCCTGTTCTCATCTGTCTCCCTGACCTGTTTTTGGACTTCTGCTGGATTGTGCCTGCTGACAACCTTGGATCTGCTACCTGACTCGTGTTTGGATTTCCCTATGGTACCTCTTCGGATCTCTGATCTTCTAACCTTCTTGGTCTGGACTTCTGCTTCCTCATCGATACCGGCTTTTGGCATCTCCTTTGCAGACTTGAAGCATGCTGGCACTACGGATCGGTTCAGTGAGGTGTTTATAAAAATGTCTGTGAGGACACCAGCCAGCTGACCTGCACATTCCTTGCACCATATAATCTTTTTTATAAAGTGGGGCATTAGTTGATAAAAAAAACTTTTTTTGAATTCTATGATTCAAAGTTTTCTGTCCAACAGCAATATTGAACTGCACAGCAGCATTCTATACCCAACTATTGTGGTACCTAGGCTAGAGTTGTCAGTCTGGTAAAGAATTTGTTTGTTTTTAAAATTGTAAAAGTTAACTATTTTTGCAACATAAAACTAAAACTAGACAAAAACTGGACTAAAACTATCACATATAGTAATGACTAAAATGCGACTAAAACTAATAATAGTTTTCGTCTTCAGGACATCTTCATGGCTGTCAAAAACAACACTGCATAATGCTAGTATTAGTGACAAATACCAGAAGAGTAGAGCGTCTGTAGGGGATCTTCTTCATATGCTTTGGAATTGTGTACATTTGCAAACCTACTGGGATACTGTTATTCTGATAACATCAGCAGTTTGTGGGCTTTCTCTACATCCCGACCACACGATATGTATACTTGGATATGTTATGTCCTTGAAATGAAATTCTTTCAAGAAAAATTTTGTTTTGTTATCACACTGCAGAAAACATCTAGGAATAATTAAAAAAATTCTTAAATTAAGTCTATTTACCCTTAATTTGAGCAGGTAAATAAGATGATCTGCCAATGGAATTAGTATCTATACTCCGAAAATTAGATAATTAGATAATATACGCTTGAAATAAGACAAAGCGATAGTTTTTTTCCTATTTTTAATGTAAATTGTCTTGTTCCATTGGCAAAATGTCGCACTTACCTTCTTAATTCAAGAAAAATGCACTTAATTTGAGCAACAATTACTTATTTAGATTTCCATTTTTTGCAGTGCATCATCTGCAGCAAAAAAGTGTATACTTAAAAACTGGAAATCTATGGATCCTCCAAACAAGAAAAATTGGATCAAAAAACTCTTTTCATACTCTATTCCTGAAAAAAAATTATCTAATCGATACGTGGGAGATCGGCTAAATTTGACAGGATATGAACTCCCTTCCTGGTCATTCTAACCAGATTAGATCTGAGATTCTTATTAGTACTGATCTTTACTGTAATGTTTCAATTATACCAATATTTTTGTTGTATCCTTTTCCCTTAACATTGTCCTTTCAAAAATATGGTTAATGCCAAATGTAATATTATTACATGCGTTGCTACATGGAGAGAGTGGGTGGGATTTTTTGTTTTGTTTTTTGAGGTTCTAAAAAAAAATATTGTAAATTGGGTGTAGATTTTGTATGGACCTACATTCTGAATATATATATATATATTAGTGCTGTCAATCGATTAAATTTTTTTAATCGCGATTAATCGCATCAATGCCTGAGTTAACTCGCGATTAATCGCATTTTAATCGCAAATTTTTTTTCTGATTGAAAATCATTTAAATACTCTCGATGACATACAAAAAATACATACAGGCTAGGTTTGTGCCAATGTTCTTTTTTTTAAATGAGAACAGGTCACAGATACTGATTTATGCCATAGAAACATATGGCAGGAAGATGGGGAGGCATGTAGCAAAAAATAACAAATATGTAGCCAAAAAAAAGGCCCTGAAAACAGGCTGATGTAAAAGACAGTCTTTACAGTTAATACAGTCTTTTGAACAAAGACAAGCATTTTACCCTACTGCTATAAAATGTAGTACAGTTAACATTAGATGTTAATTAACCAAGATAATAATGAACAATTTTCAATCAATACATCAAAATCAATAGACCGACATCACTAGATGGAGGTAGTCTATGAAAGTTACTTTTCAGACTCTTAACAAAAATGAGAACACACACACACCCACCCACCCACACACAGACACACCCACCCACACACACACACGATACCGACCTGTGGCGTACACAGACAGCAAGAGCGCCGTAGCAGATTCCATTTCACCTCAGTAATCTGTTTTCTCAGCGTATTTCAGGTTGCTACTAGTTACCAGACACTCAACTTGTTTGTTGGTGGTGGGGCTTAAAGAAAAGGCACTAGCGTCACCCAGTGTATGAGCGTCTTTTGCATAGACTGGGGGAAAATAGCCCCGCCTTCTCGCAGGCTGCAGCGGGATGTACTTGGAAAATTTTACCATAAAACCACATAGCGTTAATCTCACGTTAAAAAAATTATCGCCGTTAAAATGGCCTCGCGTTAACGCGATAATAACGCGATAATTTTGACAGCACTAATATATATATATATATATATATATATATATATATATATATATATTTATATATACAAAACAACACTACATGCACGTTATCATCTTTGCATTCAGACTGATGCACACTTATGTCTTTTTGTCAAAAAAACATAGTAAAGCTACCGCTTCAACTGTGACTGAGGAAGTTTCCTTTAATTTAATGAGAGATGTTAAAGTATGTACAGAGGAAATGTGTTGCTGAAAACTAACTGTAAGGTTTTATTCTTGCACCCTTTCACACTCCCTTTTATTGTGTGTATGCTGGTGAAGATTCTCAGCCATCCAGATCATGGTCATTCAAAAAAAAAAAAGAAAATTGAAAACAATCCACTGGACTTTGTTTCTAAGTTTGAAGACGTTTCGCTCCCCATCCAGGAAGCTTTTTCAGTTCAAAATGTCAGGAATAGTTTGAGGTTTTATAGAGTAGCCCAACAAAGCCTTGTTTTTGTTTTGAAAACATGCAAATTGAAACGGACAAAGGGGTCCACCCCTTTGGAAATGGGGTCATTTGGCTTCTTTTGTTAGCCTTCAATGCCTCATACCCGTCTAAGTGTCTGAAAGGGGAGTTAGCCTGGCTGAATAAGCAAGGTCCTCTGCTTTCTTGAAAATTTTGACTCTGTGTGCCCTGTTATGGGAAAATGTCATGCAGTATTTAAATTTACTGTTAGTGTACTAAAGAAGGAGTAAGAGTCTTAGACAATAAGCTGAAGATAAAGCAGCAGTGATAAAAAAAAAACATACAGCAGACATGCTTGTTAGTCTAAGATTGATAGTTGTTCTGCTTTATTACTACATGGAAATGACGTAAAAATGATCAAATTTGTCTAAGAGTTGAGAGAAAATGTTTTAGTAATCTGTATCTTCCTTGTTAGACACAGAGAGGACATGCTAAGGTTGTAAAAAGAAAAGAAGGAGACCATACCACGGGGCAAGGGGCATCCAGCCCATCCAGGCCTGGCAAGCCTGGTTCACCTTTCTCCCCTTTAAAGCCTCGGAAGCCCTGTTTATGAAATCAGCTGTTTAAAATCCATTTCTGAAGTGTTGCAGTTGAAGAGTTCCCTCGTCTTGTTTCACTTTTTCACAGTTTTAAAGGTTCATTTTAATAAATGTGTTCACGGTGATCCACAGGATTTATTTTTGATATAATGAAAGTGAATTTTGCTGCCTGTTTTGTAATGGTGTGTTTAATTAGGATTATATACACCCTAACGATGTCGTTAAGTGTGATTAAACTCCTGAAAAAAAACAATGGGAAAAATTGCTGGAAGAAAAAAACTTGTTAAGATTCATCAGAAATGACTCGATCTCGAATGTCCTGAATAAAGAGGATGTCAAAAAGAGTTTTGGTCTGAAGTCAGACTAAGAACTAAAATATTTGTCTAAAGTAATTTATAACAAGATTTTGTTATAATTTAGGTGTATTGATGTGTGAATATATTAAATTAATTTGATTAATACTTGATTTTGGATTCAATAATTGAGTGGAAACCTGACCAAAACTCTTTTTCTCCTTCTTTAGTAAATAAAAGAGCCAAAAGGAAGCTGATTGATGTATAAAAAAAGAATAATATTACAAATAAGAGAAGGGTAACTAAAGCCCAGTGGGATTTAATTTTACTCCAAAATGGTGCTGCTTCCTTTTGCCTCTTTACTTACCACAGTGATCCACTAACATACCAAAGGACATGGGGCATCTAATCCAGGTGCTCCTTGGTCTCCCTTATCCCCTTTGGCCCCCCTGTTGCCTTTCTTGCCCCTCTCTCCCTGCAGACAGTGTGTTTAAAAAAGACAAACCTTTATCCTTTTCTAAGTTAACCATCAAGCACAGTTTTGTACTATGCCATCTGCCTGAAAATATATCCGATTTAGAGGACATGAAAAAAAATGATTTTAGACTCTTAATTTGTTCTCTTTTTTTTTCCAAAAGAGTTTTTGATTTTGACATTTAAAACCAGTAAAAAAAAAGAGGGTAAACATATGTTAAGAGGGGGGAGTCAAGTCGTTCTGTTGGTGAGCAGTGTTCTAAAGAAAAACTAAGAGTTAACTTATAATATTACTGTAGAAATCAATATAAAACAGTGCCTTGCAACAGACTACCAACCAGTGGCGGCCTTAACCAGCTTTTCGACCAGATGATGATTGAGCTGAAAGTGTTTTCTATAATTATAATTGATAATTTATCCAAACACTTTTGCAAATGAAGATATTCGTTTTGGATACTTAACTAAATAATAATGTATATCAAGCATGAGATCATATTTTCTGCCTGAGGACTGGATGCAACAGTAGTTTTGAGTTTGCTTGCTCTTACTATTCCACAGGGATGATTCTCAAAAGCAACACTAATCAGAGCGCTGCTGTGGAGCTACTGAATGTCAGATATTAGTTTTAAAAATAAGCGTGTTTGATTATTAAAATTCATGAATTCTGTGGGGAATGTAATCTCTTTTTCAATTATCTGCTAGGGTAAGACCGTCACAGAAAATTAATTATACAAATTATACAGATGAACTTTACAACCTGATAAAAAAGGCCAAAGTCCTCTAGAACCTCAGGAGATGATTTCACAAAGAAGAGCCTCCACTTCAGAACACTGCTAAACATCAACAGTGTTTTTCAGTCAAAGGATTTTCCTTTATTTCCCACTAGTTAAGGTAAGATAAAGCCATATGAGGCATTGAACCGTTTAGTTCATGAAGCTTCATGTGAACATGTTACCACCTACTGGTGGAGTGCAGAACTACAGTTAGTAATATAATCTGTCATTTTTTGCAAATTTTTTTTCATGATGTTCCCTTTAAATTGTTAATGATGGGTTTGTATAATAAAATAATTTGTAAGTTTTTTTGTGAGTAAAATTTTTTAGAAGAGAATAATATTTTAAGTTGCACTGTTTTTCTGTCATTTTAATGAAATTAGCTCATGCAGACAGTGAAAATGTCTGCTCAAATTGGGCAATAATGAGCAAAACGAATAGTGTTAGTCTTTTAAAAAAAAAACAAAAAACAAAAAAGGTATCAGAGTTTTTCATTTTAATCGGGTTGGAAGTTATGTGACCAACCAATCTTTTAGTTAAACCTAATTTGAAAGTGTTTTACCCGATCTATATATTTAAAAGGGCAAACCAATACAAATTGTTCACTTTGGACAAAATACTGGATAAGTAGTACAACAACTTTCAAAAGTCCATAATTTTGCTCAAAGCCACAACCTTTGGATTAAAGGGCAACATCTTACAGAAGACACCACATCTATGCGGTTTTATCCTCAGACAGCAACAAATCACTGACACAACTGAAACCAGTAGCTTGTTTAAATTCTGATTCATTATATGGTTTAATCAAACCAACATTGTCTTAACCAACTACAGTAGATTGGTTGTTTTTCCAACCAATGAATTTTTAGAATATATCCAAACTCTATCTAACAGCAGCAGCTCTCCAACAAACTCCACATCTTGACTGAAAACTGAGCCTGTTTAGATGCCTGTCGAAGTTCTGCGTGATCTGAACCACTACTCAAAGCGGTCACGTGGGATGGCTGTAGCCAGGCTTCAGACGTCAATGATTTTGGCCCCTCCCCTAAATGATGCAAGCCTCGATACGCGCTTCACGAAAACGCCCCCTCCACTACTGGACACACTTCTCGAAGCCTCAGCTCATCTCATAACACATCACATCTCATCACTATTTCCCACTATTTATACTTGCAATTACTTGACATTGAGAACAAAGTAAAAGCACAAAAAGGAGATCCTGATTACATAGCAAAGTTTCATTTGGCTACCATTAACGTTTGAAAGGCTTTATTCCAGTTGTATGATTGGAAAAACTGTACAAGAGTGTAGACACTGTATCAAGAAAATACACTGCTCACCACGTGAAAGGCCACATGATTATAGAGAAGACTGAAGGATAGCACAGACCAAATTCTTTATGTGAAATTGTAAAGACTCATTGTAAGGACCAGGGATTGAAGTTGTTTAATAAGAATAACTGGTAACGCTTTCTTTTACAGTACATCAACAACCATGTAATGACATGGTAACAACACAGTTGCACTACAGTACTTGGTAACAACAGAAACCTTTTTAGATAAAAAAAATACCCCAAGATTAAGGTATATAATTCCAAAATAACAACTTGCATGTAATTATTCCAATTGTATGTGACTATGTAACATTGTAATTACCATCAGCTTACCAAATAATAGTTTCTGTTATTGGCCACCACCTACCAATGTCTTACAAAGTAAATTGGAACTTATGATCAGGTAAATAAAGCATTATAAAACTGAACTCAAGTTACATATAAATAAGAGTTTAGTTAAGAAGATTGGCTTGCTGTCTTCTAGGTTTCTTTGGGTGGGCTTAAAACTTTCCTTTTCGATAAAGCTTATAGTTAGAGTGGCTCAGGTTATCCTGATATATCTCTATAGTTATGCTGCTATAGGCTTAGACTGCTGGAGGACATAGGGACCCCTTTTTCATTATTCTGTTTCATTCTATCTCTATTCTCACACTCTGCAGAATCTGTTAGTTCAATCTCTAACATTCTGCTCTTTCTTTTTCTAATAGTATCTTCATCTGGTCTTGTCTTGTTCATCTGACTCCATCTTGTAGAGAAATAGCTGTGCTGATTTGTGTATAGATGTTTGAGCTCAGCCTGTTTTTCAGTGTAGTCCTGTTTCTCTGACTGTGACTAACTGGATGTGCTCTCTTCATCCTCTGACATGGGAGCTGGCTCGGAGCTCATCTGCCTGGCTGTGTGTTTCCTGTATGGGGCCGCCTTTTACAGTTGCCTTTTGTATCTCTGCTTCTTTTTCTATGTCTGCTTCTGTCTCCTTGAACCCCAGTCAGCCTCAGCAGATGGCCGCTCACACTGAGCCTGGTTCTGCTGTAGGTATCTTCCTGTTAAAAGGTTGTTTTTCCTCTCCACTGTCGCCACAAGCATGGTTAGTGTGAGGGATTGCTTTGGAGTCAATGAGTCAATGCAATCAACTGGTTTTCATTAGATAGAAAACTTTCAAATTGACTGGATGATCTTGTTGAACTGTAAAGTGCCTTGAGATGACGTGTTTTGTGAATTGGCGCTATAGAAATAAACTGAATTGTTATATACCAAGTAATAAACTGTATTTTACCAGATATTAAACAAATTAATTTATTGCTGTCTGCGAAATTAACATGAGTTACCTTGTAATAACGCTTTTAAATCTAAGAGGTATGACTTGACCTTGCCTGCCTAAAATTTGAAGCAGAGTACTCACCAAAATTCTCCATAAAGTTTTCTTGTTACCTAGTAATATAGTGTAACTAACTATATTATTACCAGGTTATTACATGGTTATTAATGTACTGTAAAAGAAAGCTTTACCAAATAACTGTTGTTAAATTGAAGAAGGAAGGTAAAGGGAGGGTAAAGGGAAGATGATTAACCCGGGACGACGTTAGAATGTGGGAGAAGGTGGAGGAAAAGGTTTGTAAGGAGGGCAATCGCTGCAAAAACAGCCAGAGGGCAACAAAACAAGGTGAAGGGAGGGAAAAGGGGATAGGAAGACCTGCAGAAACAAAGGGAGACAGCACAAATGTTAAAGAAAAGACCAGCACTATCTCACAGCCTTGATTCACACAATTTACACCAAAAAGTCAAATTGAGGTTTCTTTTTTTTCTATGTACCGCATTCAAATTTTCAAATATTCGGTGATATCAAGGCCATGATGTAGCTGGGAAAGGATCCTTAAGGATGGGAATGGAAACATTAACTGAGTTTAATTCAAATAAAACTGATTTTAAAGATTCATTCTCCCTGGAGCATAAATGCTAAAGAAAAGACTATTTCTATCATGTTCAGATTACAAAAATAATTTCTATTGAAATGGAATTGCAAAAATGTTTAAATATAGGTATTTTTTTTCTTTTTCATGAGGATATAGAGGAGTTTCCTCCTGAAACGAAAAAGTCTTACAGTGACATTTAAAAGGAATTTAACCACATTGGCTGTTCCTATCAAAAAATATATATATCTGTTTCTGTTTCTTAATATAAAACAATTCATGCAGCAGCTCCACTGGACCAGAACACTGGCTGCCTCACCATCATGCCATTTAAAAATATAATTAGAAAAAATATGTGAATCACACCGTCATTATTATTCATTAAAATACAGTGGAAAGCTGTACTAAATATGATTTAATTTATAAGAGGTCAGAATATCATTCAAAATGCAATTCTTAATGCCTAATAAATGCATGACTGACAAATAATTAAACCTTTCTTACCCGATTTCCTTTATGTCCTTCTGGTCCTTTTAAACCCTGCAAAGACAGATGTGATACAAATATGATTTTTTTTTTTATCCGTGTATAGTTGCTCTATACAAATACACTAATGTGCAATTTATTAAAATATTTCTTCTCCTGAGTGGAAAAACAGCATTGTTAAAACAAGGCTACCAGCAAACAGAGCAACTACTGGACTCTTACTGAGGCCCCGTCCACACGAAGTCAAAACGAATACGAAAGGCTAATATTTTCCAGAACGTTTGTCGTAAAGACGGAGACGTAAAATAAATGTGATCGTCCACACGAATGTATGAAAACGCTCCAAAATGTATGCCAGGCCTGTAAGTGGCACTGTGGTGCCAAAGCAAAAATAGGCGACGAAATGTTGGGCATGCGCACTAATATTTATACAGGGTTGCCCTGCGGGTCCATTTTCGTGGTTCAGTCAAATTCAGGTGCTGAACTATGTCGTCTATATTGCTCTGTTCTTCCTGGAGATATTCCAGAAGAAGAAGATTCTGTTGTAAGCCAGACAGCAGGGTGAGTAGCATGAGCAGCAACCATTCAACACAGTACGGCGCCATTGTTGTTGTGATACTGTGTGGCGCATGCGTGTTTAGAGGCGACGCTATGACGCATGCGTGTAAAAAAAAATGCGGTTAGAGCTTAAAGATGGAAACGCGAAAACGGCATTTCAAAATCTTCCCACTCTGAAGGCTTAATAAAAAAAAGATCGTTTACAGACCCCCGAAACGCCGGCTTCGTGTGGATGAGAGGCGGGTTTGGTGAAAAATTTGTGCGTTTAGGCCAGGGTTCGGCTTCGTGTGAACGGGGCCTGAACCAACTCAGTGGTTCAACCAAATAGACTCCATGTACGGGACCCTGGTGAGCAGCGGCAGGATGAGTTGCTGCAGCCGGGCCCCCCTGATGCTGGATTCTGTCACGGATGACACTAAGTGTTCACTTGACTCTCGAAATGCATCAATCTTAACTTGTAGGAGTAGAAAACCCAACTGTTTCCTGCATTTTGTGCACCTTTTTTTCCCAGATGGACTGCATGGTCAATAGTCTGCTCCTGTGTTCCTTTGGTATGCAATACCAGGAGGACCAGTGTTCAGATTAGCAGGAGGGGGTTTCGCATATTGGGGGGCCCTAGGCAAAGACAGGCAGGGGCCCCTCTGAATTGAGAGACAACACATAAAACAGACCCATTCTACAGATAGAGAAATGTTAATAGAATAGACATCCATTATCTGTTCTAGGTTGTGTCCCTCTCTTCTTGTCCCTTTTCTTCTTGTTTTCCTCTCTCTGTTTTATACTCAGCTGACTTTTCATGCTGTCTCTAAAGGAATGAAAGATTTTTTCCGAGCACTAAGCTCACTTAGCTGATTGCTCCTTCCTGTGTTTCCAAAAAGGCAAAAGTAAATAACCCAGTCCTTCTTTTCCCTGTAGACAAGCCATGATCAGCTTATTTTTATCTTTTAAATAAGGAATTAGACCTTTGCCTCCAGCGCCTTAGCGTCGGGTGTTTTCTAAACAGCCCGGTGTTACGCCTGTAACAGATATAAGCTGCATCAACCCCCAAAATGAATCTAGATAAAAGAGTTTCATTACAAAAAACCTGTCAGATTTGTTTCTATTGTATTCCATCATCCATCTAGAGCTGAAAATGATTGAAAAGAAAAAGGAAACTAAAAAACTGATTATTTGCACTCATGTGATTCGGCGACTGCACAACTAGGGGCCCCGCAGGCATGGATGGACTGGGAATCCAGGGCCGTTGTCCAGCCTCATTCATTACTCATACAGGGTAATAATCTTGTTATCTCAAGAAATCAACAACTGTTTTTGCCTGATAATGAGATAATTGACTTGCTGTCTCAGGAAAACAATTAATGGTTAAAACCTGGTAACCAGATAGTTATGTCATTATCTCGATAAGGCAAAGGCAAAAAAAAGTTGATACAACCGCTCTCGGCTTCCGTAGTCCTGCTTTGTGAGGATCCAATTGAAAAATGTAATTAAACTAACTTTTATCAATCAAAAGTTGTTCTTTTTAGTTCCTTCAGCAATGACACACATCCAAACCAAGCAGAGGAACAGACTGGATGTAGAGAACAGCCTGGGATCAGCTGTTTGTCACACTGAGCTCATCAAAGCAGCTCAGGGGTCTTGATGAGAAGAAATAAAACTCATCAAGTCAGTCTGACTATAATTTTGTTCCTAATGCACCAATTTTAAATGTGATTATAAGAGAGTTACTCAGAGGAGCTCCAGTTTTATAAATACAGGTTTAATATATGATTTTATTTTGTAATTATGTCGATTGTTTGCTAACTTCCACGGAACATATTTATGTAGTTTTTTTATTTGCAATGGAAATAATAAAATGCCTAAGAATGAAATCCCAAAGATTAAAAGATAAAGTTAAGATTTTCCGTCATGCTTCATGCCTACTGGGGTCTCCAGCTGTCAATGGGCGAGAGGCAGGGTACTATCTGGACAAGTTGCCAGTCCATCAAAGGACAACACAGAGACAAACAACCATTCATGCACACACTCACACCTAAGGACAATTTAGAGAAGCCAGTTAACCCAGTCATTTTTTTGGACTGGGAGGAAGCCGGAGTACCCGGAGAGAACCAATCCATGCTCAGGGAGAACATGCAAACTCCATGCAAGATTTGAAGCTGGGAATCGAAACCTGAACCTTCTTGCTGCAAGGCAGCAGTGCTACCCACTGCGCAGCCCTAGTTTTCATTTTATAATCAGTAATTGTACATTACACTTTTGGGTAATCATTAATACAGAGAGGGGTACTCATGGTAAGACAAAATGCACAAAGGGGTGCAGAAGTAAAAAAAGGTTGGGAAACACCTTGTTTGTAGTATACAGGCTGTAACGAGGAGTGATCAGCCTCTTAGGACCACCTCCCGACCAGGAATCATAAGGTCGGGAGAAAATCCAACATGTTTGAAATTCAGTCGGCAGTCCTGAGGTTTTCATGAGCAAATCCTGCTGTAGAAGCAGAGCTTTGAACCGATTTACCAGAACCTCGTGCACTGCGCGTGTGCAAACATTGATGAGTCCGACCAGCACCATCTCACTGCAGAGCTTAGTCCGACATGTGGTTTTTAGACATAAAATGTGAGCAGGTAGATCGCATCAGTACAGTGGGAGAACACAAATCATGAACTGCGAACTTTTAAAAGCTGTGGTTTCATTGTAGAGATTGAGTTGTAGCTGCGTGCAATGATTGAAAATATCTTACAATGTTTGCCCGGCCTAACTGCAGAGGAGGAGTATATATGCTTAACAAAACAATGAATGGAGTAATCAACTGATTGGGAGCAGGTGACACAAAATGGAAAAGAAACCAATGACCCAGAAAACACAGAAGGACATAAATCAAAGTGTAACTGAAAACTCAAAAAGAAACAAAACAGAATCAAAGAGTCCAGAATCGGGAGGGAAAAGCTCTACAGAGAATGAAAAAGTTCTAGATATTTGCCGGCCGTTGTATTCTTTATTTTGCCATGTGGGTTCACTCCATCTTATGATTTCACTTTTAATAAGGTGTTCTCTTTATTTAATTGTCATTTTCTTCGGTTCATTGAGAATAAAATGCAACCTGAAATCTGATTAGTTCATGTTTATTCCACCATATTTTTGTGTAAATAGATATAATTTAAAGCTACAGTGTGTAACTTTTAGCGACATCTAGCGGTCAGACTGAAGACTGCAGCAACATGAACATCTCCCCCCCACCGCTTCTCCTCCCCAACAGTACGGCGAGCGTTACGGGACAAAATGTCTTCCACGACGTCCGCATCACCTACCTTCTCAAGTAATGAGGTTTGTTTACATAGATAATTTTACAGATAGTATTTCATTAGTCTGTGTAGGGTATAGATTTCATGTAGACTTAAGATAATAAATATACTCGTTATTTTTTCTACATCGTTGTGACGTTTTGGCGATCTCGCAATTGCTAGTTTGTTGGCTCTGCGCTGCCGTAGCGCATAGATGCGAGACCCGCTCCTATGTAATTATAAATAACGAATTCTAAGGCAACGCAAATATTAAGGTTAAGAGGCTGAGCTCGTAGATGATGATAAATAACATAGTTATGTATAATATATTACATTTCTGACTGTATATCCCTGTAATTATTACACACTGTAGCTTTAAATCAAGGCACCCATAAAACACGAGTTGTTTTTTTACTACTACTGTATGCACTTTTTACAGTAAAAAATAGTGTTCAACCATTTTTACCAATTCCAGGTAGGCAATAAAAAGCTCTACTGGATTCCCTTTGTATTAGTCTTTTTCCTGTTTCACAAAGGTAGGCAGCAGCTTCACAAAGCCATGATGGCAATTATTTTACATCCAAGTAGTAGTTCTTCATATATACACACACATCAATTTCAAACAGATGGTATCAGCATCGGCCAATAGTGCACAGCCGGGTATCGAGGCCAAAAAATGGCATCAATGTAACACTAGTAAAAAATGTACAAAACAAAAAAAAAAACAAACAAAAAAAACGGACATTGTAAAAATTATACAGAGGTCACGGATTAGCGGACACCGCGGCAGATCCAGAACTCCTACATAAACACATTCTCAGAAAAAGTAGTTTTTATATATTAACAAAAATATAAAGTTGACTAATAGCTTTTCCATTATTAAACTGGTACATTATTTTTTTAGGTTTGTGACGCCATATTGGACCATGTAAAACACAGATTTACCTTCACAAAGCATCAGAAGGGCAAGATTTATGTACAAAAAGTAAACCTGTATATGAAATTATATATATTTTTTAATAAAGTATTTTTATCATGTTTTTTGTTGTTGGCATTCATATAAATATACTGGTGTGATAACTTAGTACATGTTCAATAAATTTTTGGTATACATCTATTTTTAATTTATAGCCCCCCCCCTTGAGAAAACTCCACCAGCCGCCACTGGATACAATACTGACAACTGTTGGCAAAGTTGCTGAACTCCATGTTTACACAGACTTTCAGTAATGATGCCAATAACTTGAAAAAATTGGTGGTTTTATACAAAATGAAGTGTCCAACTTACAGGGATGCCTTGAAGGCCAATTGGTCCTGGCATGCCTGTATCTCCCTTTTCACCCTGTTGCAATATGAAAAAAAAAATGTAAAATGCATTAACAATCTAATAATTTTATACATACTTTCAAGTGTGAGAATTAATAAAATGGTTAATTACTCTCTCTCCCTTTGGCCCTGCAGGCCCCGGTATACCTGTTGGTCCTATGAGACCCTGTTACCACAAAAAAAAAACAAAAAAAAAACACAAAAAATAACTAAATAAACACCTTAGGGCATGCATGACAAAATAAAAGACTTCTAATATGTTAAATTAGTAAATCAGCAATATGTATGCTGAAGATTACCCATATTTAAAACACACTTTCTTCCAATTTAATGGACAAGGTTTGAAAAGTTCAAGAAGGTTTAATTCTAGATTAAAGTTTCACCTTTGTCATTTTCTGGATAGATCGCAGAAGAGGGTTTGAAACAATAAACTAACCACATACATTACGTTTTTCTAAGGTATTCCTGGCAGATTTTGAAATAACCGTTTAATTCTATAAACATGATCAATTTTAAATGCTCCAAAGAGAGGCCTAACTTTAATCTGATAGAAAATCTACGGAGGGAGGTAAAGAACGTGTTGAAAGCATAGCAGGAAGGTGTTTCATTCTTAATGACATGGAGAGCATTAACAGAAGAGCATTAACAAAAGAAAAAAAAGAAAAAGGTCCATGTACATGCCGGCCATTCGATTTTGGTTTAGTAATGAGAAATTTAAACTCAGAAAATTGTTTTCTGATTTCCATATAAAATAAAGACATAGAAAAAAAAACAAAAAAAACAATGTTTTTGTTTTGAAACCACAAATCGAGAAACAAAATGACCCGTTATCCATTTTTCAAAAATGTAAAATAAAAAAAACTAATCTAGACATCCTGTCCTGATTCAGCTCCCCTCTTCATCAGATTTGTGTGTTTGTCCACACCACTATGGTTGTGGTAAAATAATCAAATATATTCATACTATTGCATCCCTTGACACCTCCGATAAATCTGCCTCATTATTGTTTTTACTGCATGTACGACATTTTGGCAGTAATGATGGATTCTTTAAAACCCAAGCATAGAGCACTGTCATTTCAAGAAAGTCGTGTTACCGATACAGGAGTTGTTTCTAACTGACTGATTCACTAAACTGTATTTAAAAACATATCTGTCAACATGATGCATGAATAAAATTTCTAATCTTTTGCAGTTTATCAATAAAATGATCAAGAATTTTAGAGCAGCCTAAAAGGAACAGGAACGTTTTAGCAGTTGCGTTTTCAATTTAATTTTCTGTCATACCTTTCCTCTCAGTTATCACTCAACTTATCTGAATTAAAGTTAATTTCAAATTGACTTTTTTTTTTTACTGTTTTTATTGTTTTAAAAATATAATTTGAAATCCACAAGCATCCTCACTCACATTTTCCCCTAAAATTTCACGTTATGATAAATGTTTACATTACTTATTAAGATGTTTTCAATTTAAACATTGATATGAAATAATACAATTTAACCTACAATAAATTAAATTACATTGTACTAGGTCATCAAATCAATTCAGTTTATTCTGTCCAATCAGCTGCCTGTAGTGTCTATAAATGTCCAGCAGGTGTCATTATTCTGTGAGACAGCATCAATGCAGCATCAATACAGTTTGGCGATGTGTCCAAACCCTTTAAGATGCCTTAATAGCATCACGATTTGGCAGTAAACCAGAAAATACAAAGAAGCCCACACCCCAGCGAACTTCTAAATCAGGCATCCCTAAAGTCGGTCCTCAAGGGCCGCAGTCCTGCAGGTTTTAGAGGTTTCCCTGCTTTAGCACAGCTGATTATGATTATTTCAGCTGAGGAAAAGCCTGTTAATCAGCTTTCAATTAAAATCAGCTGTGCTGGAGCAGGGAAATCTGCAGGACTTTGGAGATAGCTGTTTTAAACAGTACCACTCTACACCAGGAAGTAAAACATGAGCCTCGAGTCAGGCCATCAGATCCTATTTATTTCAGTGCAAAATGTTTTTTTTTTTTTTTTTTTTTATTGGAATAAAATCACCAAACTGGCAATAAAAAATTTAAATACAACACAATGTCTCTATGCCATCGCTATGACTGCCCTGGGTCACTACCAAAACAAAACAGGGAGGGGAGGGGGAGCGACAGGGACAGTGAAAAGGGACGATGTTTCTAAGCGTGAAGAAATGTACAGGGCCGTGAGTAGCGAAGAAACAGGGAGCAATTCTTTCGGGATGGAAGAAGGAAACAGTGAAAATTAAGAAGATTGGAAGAGACCAGAAACTGAGAAAAAGCTTAAAGAGCAGAGATCAATTGAAGGGGAGCCCAGTTCAGAACAGTCAAGTGATGAACAATCTAGAAATTCCACAGGAAAACTAAATGATTACTAAGTCATAATGAAACTAGTCAATCAGGGAGACTACTTAGCAGACTGGAATCAGATTCAGTTAACAAAATCGATAAACTACTTGTAGGGGAAGTCTGAAGTGCCAGAATACTGAATAGTGAAGACCTGTTAATAAACTGCAGATACAGTCTCAACAAGGCAAAGCTATATGCATTAACAAGATGAGGGGAAAGAGTTCAGTGCAGCTTGGTGGAGAACAAAATGATTAGCAGGGGAGTCATTGTTCCTCTAACAGTAACTGATAAAGAGATTCTAGAAAACATAAGCGGTGCAAAAGTAAAAGAAGTGAAACGGTTAAAAACAACAAGAAATGGAGAAAGGTGTGACAGCTTATCTGTGTTGATTAAATTTTAAGAAGAACATTTATCATATAAGGTTTTCATTGGTTATATGAGCGGCAATGTCAGAATGTACAATCCTCCTCCTCTGAGATGTTTTAAATGCCAAAAATTCGGACATATAGCAGCAATATATAAGGGAAAACAACGATGCGGAAGGGGTGCTGGAGAGCATGAATATGGAAAATATGGGAAAGGACAAAAAATTAAACGCTATAACTGTGGTGGAGAACAGACTGCTGCAGATCATGGTGAGCAAAAGATCTGAAGAAATAAGAAAAGTGAAATTAAAACTTGGAATAAGTTATGCTAAAGCTGCAAAGAGAATCTAATCCCAGTCAGAAAAACCCAAATCAACAGTGGCACAAATGACAAGTGCAAAACCTTTGGAGGAGTGTCCCAAAATTGCAGAAGACTCGTTAATTGTAAAAAAGAAGGATTTTGAACTGTGGAGTAAAAAATGTTGAGGGATGTCTGTTCTTAGCCTCACAGGCTCCAAATGAATGCATGAAGGGGAGGATTGCTGTTTTGAGAAGATCCATCTGGCCACTGAAAGATAAATTAACCTAATAGGGAATGTCCTCGATTAACTCGTAGTTTTGCTTCAATGTTCAAGTTTGAGAAAGTTAATTATGCAGGGGGTGGGTTGGTTCCCCTGGGGGGAATGTGTGTCTAAATTTGTATAAATGTATGTACTGAAATGCCGCAGTCAGAGAGCCCTATCTCTCCATTCGAGGATGTTAAACAAATTTAAACCTTATTTTGTGCAAGAAATGCCTCTACCTCAGCTTCCTAACTTCACAGTACTTTTCATGGTAGAAGTGATCAATCGTAGTGCTCAGACAACAAATAAAACCGAAAACAATCTAAATAGTGAAAGACTGGGGGTGACGATAATATAACGACAAATTACAAATTATGAGGACAAATTTGATTAAGCAAATATTATTTAATTACGTTGGATTAAATGAAACAGTTAGAAAAGTAATTTTTTATTGCCTGCGTCGAGGACTAAGGCCTCGACATGGGTCATGCACTCTAACCACTCGTCCACCAAAACACACCCTGTTAAGACATCTGTACTAGTAAAAATATATTTTAGATGTCAGAAATATTTTTTTTAGATATCTGCAATGTTTTCTAGATTCTTGATATCTGAAATAAAAATAATGACCAGTAACAACTTTATTACTGAGATTTGAAATTCATTTTTAGACATCCAGGATGTTTATTTCAGATATCTGAAAGTAACTCATATGAATGGGGAAAAGTGACATAATTTGTACTAGTAAAATTAAATTTCAGATATCTGACATGTTCATTTTAGATAGGAGGAATACTATTAAAGATATCTGAAATACAAACAAATATATATATAAGTAGATTTGTAGATATCTGAAATGTAGCTCGTACTAGTACAAATTGGGTCTAGAGTGCTTAGAATTGAATTTCAACTGGTAGAAATGTAATTAGTTATATCTGACTAGGAGTATTGTACTTGTGACTAGGTAGAATACTTCAGTGCTATCTACAATAGAAATGTGACTACTCAGCGTGCCTATTTTATGTTAAAACAGAGCCTCATTATTCTGAAAGCATCTAAAACTGCATTTTAGATAGACATTAATAAAATAGAAATATCTAGAATTCTAATTTAACTGGTCATAAAATAAGAGGTTGATATCTGTAATTATATTTCTACTGGCAGAAATATATTTTAGATGTCATTAATTGGATTTCTGGATATCTAGAATGTTATATTCATTGTTGATATCTGAAATAGTAATTTTAACTAGCAGTAACTATTATGGAGGTCTGAAATTAGAATTCATCCTGGTTAGAATTAATTTTTAGATAGGAAGGATGTTTATTTTAGATATCTGGAGGTAAAAGCCCAATACACATTAATGAGAAACGTGACATCATTTGTACTAGTATGAATTACATTTCAGATATCTGAAATGTTTATTTTGACTAGGAAGAAACACATTTGAGACACCGGGATTACATATTCACTCAAGCTAATAAATGTCAAAACGGCATGCCATAATACAGCACTGGGGCTTCCTCAACAGCCAATACCACACCGTGATGTCACAAACCAGTAGGTGGCAGTAGTGTTCTTTGACAAACATGGATGCCTCCAGTAAAGCACATTCAAATGAAAATTACTCTTAACTAAAAACACTCATTTATTGAACAGTATGTAATAATTTTATATTCAGAAGTCTATATTCTGAATATAACCGGACTTTTCCTTTAAAAGCTGTTTGTGACCACTCAGAATTATAGTAACTTACTGGACTGTTCATACGATCATTTTACCTAAAAGTCACAGACACTCATTTTATTGTGTAAAATTGTCCCAAAGTAGAGATGTAAATTTAAAGAAAAATTAACCAGCAATAGGAAAAAAAAAAAACAAGGAGAGTGGTAGTTACTTGCAAGCAGAGTTTGAACCTCATAAACAGATTCTGATCGAAATAGAATTTAATTGTTAAAGGGAATAGGAAAAGGAAGACATGCAAAATTCTCTACTTTTGAAGAATGCAATTTTTAAGCAAATATATATTAAAATAAATAAAAGAGACAGCGTAAAAGTTGAAAGGTGAAGTGGCAAAAATGAAGCTCAGATAAAAGAACGAGAGATGAAGAGAGGAAGGGTTTGTGCGACCAAAACAGGACTCATGCCACTCACCACTGCACCAGGTTTGCCGTCTAACCCATGAGCCCCCTGTATAGTGTTACACAGTTAGAGGGCAGAGAGGATGAAGGGAGTGGGTAGGATTGGGGTTGGGGGTGGTGAGATAAGGAGTGGGATTAGATGAGGTGAGCGAAGCTGTGACTGGTAACAGCAACAAATATTCAATGACAAAGAACAAATGGCAATAAAACCACTGAAGGTTAAACCAAACAAGTTGACCATTTTAAGTTTCCCTCTTTCTCTTCTTTCTGTCTGTTGAGCTGAGTGTAGTACTATAAAAAGGCAAACTCTAAATGTGTAAGACGAAACATTTTGAATGGGTCGAGGTCATTTCTTAGAAATGTTTAAATAGATTTTTTCATTCAATTATAAGTTTCACTTTTATTCTTATCTGGTACATTTTCTTTTCAACATTTAAATGGTAAAAAATCCAATTAATGCAAACTACAAAAAAGTAAGCTAGTGAAGATTCTCAGTCATCCAGGTCATAGTCATTCCAAAATAGTTTAAAAAAACAATCCACTGGACTTTGTTTCCAAGTTTGAAGATGTTTCGGCTCCCATCCAGGAATATCATGGAAGAGCAACCCCCTCTGGACAAGACTCTGCTGTCCATCTACACCTTATGGACAAAGGACATTCTTTTGAGGACCAGAATGTTCACATTTTGGACAAAGAAGACAGGTGGATTGAGAGGGGCTTGAAGGAAGCCAGCTATGTTAGGAAAGAAAAAACAACCTTAGACATAAGGGATGGACTCAGATTTCAGCTTTCAAAAATCTACAATGCAGCAATTGAGTTGATTCCTTCCCGCTATCATCGCAACCCCCACCCCTTTACAGGGGAACAGAAGACCCTGCCTATTCAGCCAGGCCAACAATTCCCTTTAACGACCCCGCTTTCAGAGACATTGACAGGTATAGGGCATTGCAGGATAACAAAGAAACCAAACTACCCTCATTCCAAAGGGGTGGACCCGTTCATCTGTTTCAATTTGCATGTTTTCTAAGCCAAATCAAGGCTTTGTTGGGCTACTTCTGACAATTTGAATTGAAAGAGCTTCCTGGATGGGAAGCAAAACATCTTCAAACTTGGAAACAAAGACCAGTGGATTATTTTTTTTACTTTTTTGGAATACAAAAATGTAAGCTTTACATTTTCATGACATAACACCTCCAGTGTTATGCTCTGAAGAGACGGATGCTAACTGCTACAGCTGGACACGCCTCATCAACCAATCAGAGAAGCTGATGTGGGAGCTGGCAGGGAGACAGACGCAGCACTGCTGATGCAGAGCGCTATGATCACTCTGCTATGATCACTGAAACTGTTAATTAAAGCCTGAATTAACTTAAAATGTTGAAACCTAAACTGTACAAGCATCAAAAATGAAGCAGCACATGCGTTTTTGCTGCTCCTGCTGCTAATTGTCTAAACGTAGCATAAAATTCTCTTCCCTTTGAAATAACTAAAACATTAACCCTGGCATCTAAATATGGGAGCTTACCCTGATGACACTGCCAACTTCCTACGGCCAGTGGATAACCAGCTTTCAAAATGACCAAAAGCAGCAGCAGGTTGGCTAATCCTTCAGTCAACCACTCCATCACTACTATTTACTTAGGACTTCTCAACATTAGCTCACTCATAAGTTTGGGACTTCTCGACGATCTCCTCACCGACTGTATGTTTCACCTTCTTTGCCAGATGGAAACCTGGCAACCACCTAATGACTGCTTTTAGCTCATCAGTTTAACCCAACCTGGCTTTGTTGATATCTCCCAACTGTGTGAGACAGGCCACGCAGGTTGGGTTCTCCGTCTGGTTTCCATCCCAGCTCTAACCTCCATAGAATGTCTCAGGTGTAAAATTCCTGAACATATACCCACTATCAGTGCTGAATTTGACCTCCCCCTTAAACCTAACTGTTACTTTTGAATAGTGTTGCACCGATGCCATTTTTTGGCTCCAATATTGATACCCTACACCTGGCTGTGCAGTATTGGCCGATGCCGATACCACACCGATACCATCTGTTTTAAATTGATGTGTGCGTGTATATATGAAGAACTGCATACTACTTGGATGTAAAATAATTGCCATCATGGCTTTGTCAAGCTGCTGCCTACCTTTGTGAAGCAGGAAAAAGACTAGTACAAAGTTAATCCAGTAGAACTTTTATTGCCTACCTGGGATGGGTGACAATAGTTGAATAAACTTTTGGTTCTCAAAATGGTACCGGTGCCCTATTTGTTGGTACTTGCCGATACTGATACCACCATTTTGGTGGTCGCAGGGGTAGCAGCTTCAGTAGGGAGGCCACTACATCCCTCTCCCCAGCCACATGGGCCAGCTCCTCAGGGTGAACCCCAAGGCGCTCCCAGACCAGCCAAGAAACAAAGTCCCTCCAGCGTGTCCTGGGTTTCCCCATGGGTCTCCTCCCGCTAGGACGTGCCCAGAACACCTCACCATGGAAATGTCCAGGAGGCATCCTAACCAGATGCCCAAGCACGCTTCACGGCTGACGCCGCACCAATCGGCCTATCAATGTCCTGCTCCATCTTCCCCTCATTCATGAACAAGATCCCAAGATACTTAAACTCCTCAATTGACGGATTTCCGTGCACACACAAACGGACAAACTCTTTTCTCTGCTGAGACCTGCTACTCTGGTCTCAGCACCTCCAGCTGCTCTGATGGTGAACCTAAAAAAACTGATCATTATTCAATTTCATTCACATGCTCTACACTATGCGCATTTCCTATTTGGTACCTAATGGCAGAAACTCTGGCTGTAGTGCCGTCCACAACGCCTGGCACACCTCGGACACTATACCAGACACAGTGCAGGATGCTAGTCTGTAGCTCTGTGCGACGGTCTGTTGGTTTGCCCCAGAAGCCAAAACACACAGCGCCACGGCCAGTCTTTCGGGAACACTCATGGGTGAGCTGTGTGTAAGTCCGGCGTTAAATGAGGGGTTGTAGGCGGCGAATAAGCTCGTCTAACCGACACACGGACACCTACAATCCTAGCTAGTTGGTGATTGTTCCTCTTACGTAGTAGCGTGGAATAACATAGCACAGGCCACACTTCAAAATTGGGCATAAATCAAAAATTTCTGTGTAATACCTGCAACAAGCTAACTGCTGCGGGAGTATACAAAGCCCTTTAGACCTGCCTCTTCCATCCACATTGTGGCACCTCCTGCCAACTCATCACCATGAGGAGCAGAAATTTCTCCTGCTCTGCTCCCAACCTCTGGAATTCACTCCCTGATATTCGTAAAACTTTACTCATCAAAGCTCATCTGTTCCCGATGGCAGACCTCCACTGATTTTAATTTAGTGTATATGGTATATTATGGCTTGTTTAAAAGCATGCTTTGATATCCTGAAAGGTGCTTTAAATAAAATAATTATTTTTATGATGATTTCCCTTAAAACTGGAACCATTTTCAGGATACTTAAAGCAACTGTTTTTAGGGTAGGGAGGGCAGCAACCATACTGCCGACAGGATGACAAAAAATCCCTAACTCAAAAGAAAGCTTTCTTAACCAGCAGTCATAAAGTACACACAACGATGAGAAGCATGCAGTAAACACCACCACTCTCCAGAAACACAATATTAAAATACTTAGCTGTTAAAAAGGAAAAAACATATTTTTAATAACTTAAAAGATAAACTTACAGGAAGTCCAAGATAGCCTCTGACTCCTTTGTCACCTTTCTGACCCGTCTCTCCCTTCTCTCCCTTGATGCTGATACCTGGGTCTCCCTTGAAAAGATAAAAAACAAAACAAAAAAGTGTAAACAGAGACTTAATAGAGAAGAATTAATAAGTTATGTAGTACATGATATGTAGTTATGTTTGATGGGATACTTTCTCATTTGAACAGCCCTTTTCCTGATCACTTCCCTAGACTTCCCCACTGTCCTACAGCATAGAGTATATACCAATAAGCCATAATAGTACTTTTTTCAGAAACAGACACATAAGAGCTGTAAAAGATTATCTGAGATATTATTTGAAAACATTTATTTAAAGGTTATTAATTAATTTCCAAAGATCAACCTTTATCTACCTTGGCCACATTGTGGTTATTGTGATTATTCCAAATCCAAAATACTCAGGTTATACTGACCTATTTTCTGCATTTGTGCTGCTATACACAGACTGCTGGAGGACACAGGGACTCCTTTTAATCATTCTATCTGTATTCACCCTTCTGTAGTATTTGTTACTTTAATCTCTAACATTCTGCTCTCTCTGCTTTTTCCTATAGTAGCTTCATCTGGTCTGTTCTTGGTTAGCTGTGATTCCGTCCTGGAGAGAAATATCAGCTGTGCTGCTGCCATCATTGGAGGTTTATTCCTGTTAAAATAGAGTTTTTCCTCTCCCTTGACGCTACAAGTATGCTTGGTGTGAGGGATTGCTGAAGAGTCGATGAGTCGATGCAATCAGCTGGTTTTAGAAGGAAAACTGAACCAATCTGACTGGATGATCTGGTTAAATTGTCTCTGTAAAGTGCCTTGAGATGACATGTGTTGTGAATTAGTGCTATAGAAATAAACTGAATTGAATTAAAGCTGTTGTGCCTGATGTACACTCTGTGTCCAATCCACATGTTATACTGTCACAGATTCCTCCTAATGTTTCCCTTTTCTCTGCAAAAAAAATCATGCTGTTTATTTCTACTGACATGGTGGACTGGGTGATGTGTTAGGAACCAAAGGATGCCACATCATTTGATGGAAATGAAAATTATCAACCTGCAGAGGGCTGAATTCAAAGACACCCCAAAAATTACAGTGAAAAAATAATGCGGCAGGCTAGTCCATTTTGCTGAAATTTCATTGCAGCAACTCAAAATGGTATTAAGTAATTTGTATGGCCTCCATGTGCGTGTATGCATGCCTGACAACGTTGGGCTATGCTCCTAATGAGACGATGGATGGCGTCCTGGGGTATCTCCTCCCAGATCTGGACCAGGGCATCACTGAGCTCCTGGACAGTCTGAGGTGCGTCGGATGGATGGAAACATAATGTCCCAGAGGTGTTCTATTGGATTTAGGTCAGGCGATCGTGGGATCCAATCAATTGTATAAATTCCTTCATCCTCCAGGAACTGCCTGCATACTCTCACCACATGAGGTCGGGCATTGTCGTGCACCAGGAGGAACCCAGGACCCACTGCACCAGCATAGAGTCTGAGAATGGGTGCAAGGATTTCATCCCGATACCTAATGGCTGTCAGGGTGCCGTTGTCTTGCCTGTATAGATCTGTGCGTCTCTCCATGGATATGCCTCCCCAGACCATCACTGACCCACCACCAAACCGCTCATGCTGAACGATGTTACGGGCAGCATAACGTTCTCCATGGCTTCTCTAGACCCTTTCACGCCTGTCACATGTGCTCAGGGTGAACCTGCTCCCATCTGTGAAAAGCACAGGGCGCCAGTGGCCGACTTGTCAATTCCGGTGTGCTTTGGCAAATGCCAATCAAGCTCCACGGTGCGGGGGCAATGAGCACAGGGCCCGCTAGAGGACGTCGGGCCCTCAGGCCACCCTCCTGAAGTCTGCAACAGGCTTGTTTGGCGTCCACAGGAGCAACAGCAGATATCTGCTCAGGTGTGCTTAGCTCCTCTTTAGCTCACGATACAGTAGCAGCCATTCAAAATGGCCCTTCCCAGTCAAATGTCAGCCGAACGGCAGCCAACTTTCCTGCAACTCACAGCAAAATCCCCTCCAACTTTCAGCCACTGGCCTTTTCCTAGGTGTGCATTTTTTTTCTCTGACTTCACCCTTTCACTGAATTGATTGATGTTTAAAAATGAATTGTAGGGGACCAGCCATCAAGGAAAGTGGGGAGTTTTTTAAATGGCTACTACTGTATAACACATGTCATCTCAAGGCACTCAACTGAGTCAATTCATCATCTAGATAGAGTTGTTAAACATTTTCTATCTTAGGACAGCCATTGATTGAATGAGTCATTGCCTTGGGAGACATAGCAGAAAGGAAATTAAAGGTCAGGTACGATAGCTGATAAATCTGGGATATAAACAGAGGTGTCAAGTAACGAAGTACAAATACATTGTTACTGTACTTAAGTACACTTTTTAGCTATCTATACTTTACTCCATTACTTATTTTTCTTCCTACTTCTGACTTCTAATCATTACATCTTCACACAAGTATCTGTACTTTCTATTCCTTACATTTTTAAAACAAACGTTACTCGTTACTCTTAGCTTTATGTGCGCCATCCAATGCAGATCATTGGCGCCATCTACATCTAGCGAAAACTACTGTAATTGGACAAGTCACAAAACACTAACACTCATTGGTTAGCTAATGATCAAATTTATAATGATGCCAAAGGAAATCATCAGAAGCAAGCAGGTGTTCTTCAAACTGCTAACGTGAATTGTCTATGCCATGCTACAATGTTGGATTCAGAAAAAGATGTTGAAATGTCTGAAAGGTCGGACACAGGCGAGAGCGTATCGGGAGATGGAGACCAACAAGACCTCCCTCATCCTCATTCATATAGTGGCATCTGGCTGTTTTTTTAAAGGTTACTTTATACTTTTATACTTTAAGTAGTTTTTGAAGCAAATACTTTTTTACTTTTACTTGAGTAAAGAGGTCTAGTTTATACTTCAACTTTAATCAGAGTGTTTTTAAACTGCAGTATCTATACTTCTACTTAAGTAACAAATGTGTGTACTTTTGAAACCACTGGATATAAAACAAAAAAAAAAAAACAAAAAAAAAAAACTGATGTTTAAACTGATGTTTAAAAGGAATTGTAGGAGACCAGCCAAGTCAAGGAAAGTGGGGAAATTTTGAATGGCTACTAGTGTGTCTCTTGCCGTGCCTCCAGGGCTGCCTCCTCACAGCTCTCTGTCATTTCCTTCTCGTATTTGCCTTTTTGGGCATATTTAAAGTAGATCCATTTCAAGTTAGCAGCTATGACTCATTCTTAGGCTTTTCTCTGGAGTAGACTGCACGATTTATTGAAAAGCAATACTATAGCCAAAAGTTACACAACTCCATCCTATGCAGCTTCCGAATCCCATGTTAATGACACAGAGATAGAACAGCAAAGGGCTGGTTATACTCCCGCAGCAGTGTGTCGCAGTAGCAGGAATGACGTAGATATTTTTGATTTATGCCCAATTTTGAAGCGCGGTCTGCGCTGTTATTCCATGCAACAACGCAAGAGGGACAATCAATGAGGCGGTGAGGAAGTGGGGGCATTTTTGTGCGACAACGGAGGGACATCAGGGTGAAAAGGAGCGGGGATCCAGGTGGTAAAAGGGTCCCAGCGTTCTCGCGCAGCTCGCTCTTCTAGCTGGTTCATCTTCACGAGTCATTTCCCACAATGGCGGGTAACACAAATAAAACAAGCCAGTAAGGTACAAAACAGGAAATACGCATAGAGTTGAGAGGATGTAGAATTGACCAATCAGAGGCCTCCTTTCTCCCCTCCCTGCGACGCTATGTGCGACACTGTCTGCAGTCACCTACAGTTTTGGGGAGGTGCACCAGAGTGTCTGCAGAAGGTGCATATCTGCGTTAACTGTTACGCACGTACAGCTTAATGGTCCCAAAATTTACCCTTGATGGACCCCTAGTTAATATGGAAGGTACAGTGATTTACGGTTAATCACCTGAACCCATTGCTTTCAGTCAGATAGATAAGATTCCACCCATCTGCAGCGAAGTTTACAATGATTCACGGCAAGAAATGGTGGTTATAGATCTCTAAAGACAGCAGCAACACAACTACTTCTATGTGTTTCAAAGAAAACACAGACAGCAATTTCTGTTGAATGGTGAGTTGTTGAAACATAACTGTTGGAGCCGTTTGAAACTATTTTTTGTGTAGTTGGAATCACTTGTAATTCCGGTTTATTTAAAGTCTGTGTGGGAGTTTTGGTTGTATTATTCTTTCGTTTGTGGTCCTGTAGTTTGTTTAATTGACCCAGTTGTTATCATCACATGCTCTTTATCATCCCCACTGATCCTGATGATTTAGAAGGTGTTCATAATTTTTTCCAGATTAGCCTGGTTCTTCTTTATTATCCAACAGCCTAAAGTGTAAAAAGGTTTATTAACTGATGTTTAATTTGAGGGCCTTCATCTATAGATGTTGGTTTATCTTTTGTATCATTGTATTAATTGTGTTTCTGATACTCATTGCCTTTCTGATTGATTAGAAATGTCTCCCTCTGTGTGATTATCTTGTAATCAACAGTGAGAAGTGTTAAGGGAAGTTTTACATGACTATAAAATTCTCTTGCTTCTTTTCCAAATCATATATATTTATTTTGGATGTGACTTCTTGTTATTACCTCATTTGGTAACTTATCGGTTTGGGTGTGTACGAATAAAGATCCAGTTTCAAACAAAATGGTGCCGTGACCAGGAGGAGACCTGAGGACAACTACTATGAGATTCTAGTAGAAACTAAATTGTGGTACTGTATGTCTTTACAGGAATTAAAGGAGAAGTCTGGTCATGTTCAGAATTCAAACTTCTAAAAGTACTTTAAATCTGAAATTATAACATACTGTTCAATAAATGGTGTTTCTAATTCAGAGTAATTTTCATTTGAATGTGCTTTACTGGAGGCATCCATGTTTCTCAAAGAACACTACTGCCACCTACTGGTTTGTGACGTCACGGTGCGGTATCGGCTGTTGACCAAGTCCCAGTGCTGTATCTGGTGTTTCTCACAACTAGACATGGGCAATGTGGAGTCAACAAATCATGTCTCCATGTCATGTATTTAATCTACCCAGCCAATTAACCAGGTGAGTCCAATCTGCACAGGTTAATTCACGGTGAAGATTGGACTCACCTGCTTCAGTGGCTGGGTAGAACAAATACATGACATGGAGATGACTTGTTGACTCCACATTGCCCATGTCTGCTCACAACGCGCTATTATCCAAGTCATCTTGAAAACAGTCTTCTTCCAAATGTTGGCTACATATTACGTGTTTTTTCTCTGGCCAGAAGTTCGATGGTAAATCCTCCCTCTTCAAGTTGGCGATCCAATGACCAACCCGTCCGTGGAGGATCAGGAATCAGAAAGGTGAAATAACTACATTTTTTCCCTTTTTACTTGATGTATTCCAGCATCCAGCTGCCATGCACGTGGGCATTGTCAGTTTCACTATAGCTCTGGTGAATTTCAATGGTGAAGTCCTCTGGAAATCTTCAATAATTGTTGTTGATTGCAGATGTGTCTAGTAGTTCCCATTGATTCTGCTTGTAAAGCGGGGAGAATGGCGCTAGGCTTACCGCACCTGCCATCTTCTGGCAGTGACGCCAAAAGGTGGCAGGAGGGAGGTGTTACTATATTTGTACAAAAATGACCGCTCCCAGACTCAGTGATCGCGACGAAAATTATTTTTATCTCTTCACTGACTAAATTCATTAAATCACCTCAAACATATTAGGTTTAGGTATAAATAATGATCCATTGGTCATTCCTTGCTGACCAGACTTTTCTCTTAAATGTGCTCCTTAAAGGGGAGGAGAGACCTTTTTCTGAAAGTTCTGTAGAACGTCTGTTTATGTCAGTTTGCTTCTTAAAAGCATCAAAAAGCCATGTATTCACAGAGTAAAGAGAAATGATTAAGGTATGCTAAATTAGGTTAAAGAATCTTTTGGATTTGGTTGAAGTCTTATTTGTTTCATGTCCGACTCTTCCTGATCAGGATACACAAAACATTTCTGACTGTATATTAGCAATACTCTTAAAATAACAAAATTTTCATTTATCACTATTTCTTTCTAACATACTTTTCTATCAGTAAAATTTTAAATTTTTAAGTTCTGTGGTTTAAAAAGTAAGCAGGCCCTGATAAACTATCTCCCTCTTCTCACAGGAATCATAGTGGTTGGACTGTGGCTATGGTTAAAAAACAACAACAGAAAACTGTATAATGATAATATCATGATAACAAAGAGACTCACAGGAGATCCAGATAAACCTAAGTCTCCTTTTTCACCCTTGGCTCCAGGGAAGCCCATGACACCACTTTCCCCTTTGGGACCTTGAGGACCAGCTGGACCTGAAGGACCAGGCTCTCCAGGCTTCCCCCTGGATCCCTGAAAATACATGAGTTCAATGTTCCTTAAATTAATATTAGTAACACTGATGATATTGAGGAAGTGTGTGTATTATTCGTTCTTTTGCATAAAATCTAAAATAAACTTTATTTTTATTTTTCTTCTTTCCAATTAGTTGGTTTTACAGACAAACTTTTTATAAACAAATACTAATGCACATTTTGTGTTATTTGTTAAAATATTTTAACCATTGTTCAGCTAGGGTAATATCTGAAAGGCGGTCAAAACTGGTTCTAGATGTTTTTAGGTTTAAATTTTTAACCATTGTTGGCTTCTATCTCATAATATTAGAGTTTAGGTAACTAGCTTTTAGCTACCCTATTTTAGGTATGATTAATGGACCCATGTAAGGACAGAGTGAAACATACATACTTTGATAAAAATAAAATGTAGAAAAGAAATAGTGATACCATAAATAAAAAAAAAGAACTGTTTGTGTCCACAGGTATGAATTTGATGTGGAAAATGTCCCTGAGTTCAATTCTGTTGTTGGTATTTATTTCTGGGTGATCTCTAGTTGGGTTTCTCTGTGACTATCTAAGAACCTCCTTCTCAGGCATAAACCCCAAAATAAAAATAAAAAAAATCTCCTTGATGGGGTAATATTTGAAACTGAATTACCAACTCAGTATGTAGTCAAGGGCTGTTTCTAAATTCACAAGAACGTGAGTACGCTAATTCTGACATTTCGAATTAAAAAGCTTCCTGGATGGGAAGCAAAACATCTTCAAACTTGGAAACAACGTCCAGTGGATTTTTTTTTAAGTTTGTTTAGAATTACAGCACAAATGTTCAGTAATTTAGCATCAGAGCATATAAATGGAGTGGAGCGCCACGCAATTTCCGCTCCCCGCTCAGGAGGATGTTCGCTCATTCGCTCTGCCGCTGAAAGTGGTACCAGAACACTCCACTCAAAATCTGTCAACGCTAACCTTCATTTTCCGGCTGCTACAGCAAAATCCCTCCACGCTCACTCAGATTTTCAGGAGAAGGCCTTTTCTGACATTTTTCCTTCATGTAATGATGCCAGGGCCCTGAGACACACGGCATTTGATTTAATGATGTGACCGATACATGAGTATTATCTACTGGCTGTTAAATTATTTCCCAGCTGTGAAAATAACGCCTCGCTCCATTCATGTTGCCCCACGTTTCTTATTTAAGTATTCATTTATTTTACTAGACTACATTAAAAAAGGTCACTTTGCATCTCATTGCAAATGAGATAACAGCGTATAATGCATGAATGTGATCCATGTTTAAAAACATGGTCTTACCACAGCGATCACTCTATGTAAACCCACTCTGTATAGTTAAGTATAGTTAGTGAATGTTTTTATGATATTTTATCTCACTTTTTATTACACAATATGCAATCCTTGGTCTTGGCGATTCCGTGGTAAAGTTGAAACATAGACTATTACAGATTATAGGCACAGACTACAGCATAGGATTTGGCCTAGGTTTTAAGTCAAACATGAATTTAAATAAAGTTGGAGCGAACTAGAGCGGAGCAAAATATTCGCTTCGGCCTTTGAATTGAAAACCGCTCTGCACTCAACCATATTTATTCTGCTTCGCTACACAGCTCGCTCCACGCTCCACCCACATGCACAAAAAAAAGTACCACTTTGGTTCAATGGGGGAGAGCTACGTAAAAAATTATTTTTAGGATATTTATCTTTGATGATGTGTGAATTTATTAGACCTTAATATTAGCTGCCTGTTGCGTGTCAGAACTGATGTTGTCCACAATATTTTATTTAATAAGTACAGTTCCTCTGTCTGGATTAGAGACTGACACGGGAGTGGATTTTCACTCCTGTCCCGTCCCACTCCCACAGAAAAAAATTGTGTCCCGTCCCGATCCCGGGCCAGAGTAGAAATCTAAATCCTGTCCCGTCCCACTCCTGGTGAAATTACTCCTGCTCCCATTCAGAATGACTCCCGCTCCTGCACCACTCCCATTCTTGTTGTTTTTATATTTTGACAAGGTTGGAGCCATGGATGTTTCCTCATCTGCTAACGTGTATGATGAATAATAAGATGATATGGCAGACTGGAGATGTATAAAATGCCTCTTTAACTGTTGATTGGGCCACTTCCTGAGATGTGAGCCCGGTTGGTAAGCAGCTGCCTTCTGTAACTCTAAGCAACTTCTCTGATTTGAGTAAGATTCCAATTTTTTACCAAAATCTGTTGTCATGTCTACTGGTTATTCAATACATATAAGTTATGAAGTGTTATTTAAAGAGTTTGTCCTGAGTGATCTCTTTTCAGGAAAAAGAACCGGAGAGAGAGAAAGCTCCAAGGTGTAGACACAGAGAGCCTAATCTTTAACATTTCTGAAACAGAGGTAGCTCAAATGGTCAATTTAACTTCACTAACTGATCATTCAACCTGTAAGCCAAGTGTGACACCCCAAGGGTTGGGGTGTCACCCGAGCACGCACAGGGCAAAGTTGAACATGCACAGAAACCCGGTGAAGCCTGCAAAGAAAAGGAGGGAAGCAAGAATAGAGGTGACAGGAAAGGGTTTGTCCGACCAGAGAGTGCGACCAGGCAGGTTTTAAACACTGCATGTCTCTCTGTGGCATCGGTCCTCTCTCTTTAAATTCTATTTAAGATCTGGAAAAAAGAAGTCAAAGTTAAACGTATTTAATTTTCATTCTCTAGTAGCAGGGTGAGATGGTTTGTTTGGGTAGAGAATTCTATCCAACGACTCCTGTGCACAAGAGCAAAAGTTGCCAGAGGAATCTCAAAGTAGCAGGAAGACAGTCAGTGGTTTCTAAACCAAGAATAACTACGCTCATAGAAGGCATCGTCACACATCTGTCTCCGCCATGATTCTGCCCTTTCTGAGCTTTTTGGTTCTGGTTTCATTTACACATTGATTTATGCCTTTCTGTGTTTTCCTGGTCATTGGTTTCATTTCCATTTTGTGTCACTCTAGTTTTTTATGGTTGTATTTGAGTTCTTATATTTCTTGTTTAGTCTCCATATCTGGGCTGTCATTGCCCAGAAGTGGTAATTGTTTTTCTGAAAGATTGTTTGTGAATAAATGCTTTTGGTTTTGTTTAAGTGTTATCTTTGAGTTTTCGTTGATTTTATTTCCATTTTGTGATTCTAGCTATTTGAGTTTTTTGGTATTTCTTGTTTGTCCTCTTGTGTCAGTCTCTTCCCTAGCTCCCTTCTAGACTCCTCTGTTCACACCTGCTCCCAATCTGCTGATTAGCCCGGTCTTTGTTTCTCTCTCCCATGTATGCACCTCCTGCTCAGTCACTGTTTGCTGGTTTGCCTTATGTCTTTGCCCTTGTTGTGAGTATTCCTGCTTTTCAGTTTTTTTGTGGATTTATGTTTTTGGATTTTTGCTTCTGTTGCCCTTTTTGGTTAATTAAATCTTCAAACCTTCACCCAACTTGACAGTCTGTAGTATTAAAGGCTATTTGCACAGTTTTAACTTGTTCCAGAAGTAGTTTTTTTAAACAGGCTGATTTGAAATGTGACTAAAGTAAAAAAAAAAAAAAAAAAAAAAAAAAAACATAAAGCTAACAAAAGATGACAATAGTTTTTTCAGGGTATCTAAAGCTAATAATGTGTGAGTATGAATGCACACAAAGTTATTCAAATATTACATTTACATATTCTATTCTGATTAAAAACCCCTAGATTAAAGAGGAGTTCTTGCTGAATGATGACAGCATAGATTACCTTTTCTCCATCCACTCCTGGAGGACCTGGTAGACCAACTTCTCCCTGTGGATAAAGTGGCTTTGGATTTATACATTTGCATATGGTTATAGCTCCTAAAATAAAAAAATACATATTTTTTTACATGAAGCTGACTGCTGTGTAATTAGTAGGAACAAAAATATCGGCCTGAGTGTCTGTGTCAGGGATGGAGGTCTTGGTCTATTAATCAAAAGATGCAGAACACCCACTATAAACGCTAATTAGCATAAACATTCATAAAATATGTTAAATACAGAAAACAAACCGACCAGGCAGCTGAACTCTGGGTGGAAGTATCAGCGCTCTTCCTGCTAAAGTCACTGAAGAGCCGATGAAGGGAAATAAAAAAAGGCTAATTTCATAAAGCCAAATATAAATACTGGCTGAGTTCGAATTCAGGGGCTGCGCATAACTTAGAGCAGTAATTATACAAAGATAGTAAAAATATGTAACTATTAAGCATTTAGGATAAAGAAACTCTTAATCTGTCAATCTGCTCTATCCAGATCTCCTCAAGTGGAAAAGTTTTAGATCTTCCTTAAGGAACCTTTGGCTAACTGATAATTATTAAATTAATCAATTTGCAAAATAATTGTAAGTTGCAGCCCTAGTTTAATCGTTAAGTTAAGATTCCATTAGCTGGTAGATCCTGCCTCTCATAGCACTAATTATGCCAGAACTGTCATAAATATAAGAAAGATTTATAACCCATAATATTATGCCATAATGAATTAAGTTTAGAAAATATGTATCTATATGTAGCTTCATTTATTAACTTAAATATTAGCTTATTTTCATAATGATGAGTCTAATAGCAAGAAGCAAATTTGTCGGAATAAGTAAATGTTTTTTTTCTTAATGCTGTATGTAAAAAGAAACATATACAAATGAGCAAATGAGAATATTAGGTCTTTATTCTCATACCATTACGACTTTATACTCATAATTTTATGACTATTCTCGTGACTTTATTATCGTAATTTACGACTTAATTCTCATAATATTAGGGCTTTATTCTCGTAATGTTACAACTGTATTCTCGTAATTTTACGAATTCGTTCTCGTAATAGAAAAAGAAATCTCTAGCCTGGCCCTAATACTCAGTTGAAGATATACATTTATTTTCCTTTAACTATTTTTGTTTCTAACAGAAAGGAGATAAGCATCATTTCAAGTATGAAAAACATGTAGCGTTCAGTTTTAAAACATTTTTCTTTTACATTTAAATTCTGGAAATATCGGGTAAAATGATTTATACAGTATTTATACTGTTCTCAATACTCACTTGAAAACAATGTGAGTATGACCAACTTTTTCATCATTTTACGTAGTATTTTAGTAATTAGTTTTTATCTATGTGTTCTCTGTCCTCAACAGTAGTCCAAAACTTTACTACTACAAATCAAAACAGAAATCTGTAGGTACCATTAAACAATTATCCGAAACCTATATCAGCCAGGCTTATAAAGTACGGCAGCCAATTAACTATTATTGTGATAATTGATTAATCTGTTGATTATTTTTTCAATTAATAATCACATAGGATTCTTTAAGGAAGACCTTTTGTTAAATTAAATCTGGTTTCCACCTGAGGAATTCTGGATAGAGCAGACAGACTGAGGAGAACATTTTTATTCTAAAAGCAAAATATTCATTTTATTTTTTTTTTAATCTTGTTATGACTCCTGCTCTAAGTGGGTCGGTCTGTCAAATAAAGGAATGTTTTAGAGTCTCCAGTTACGATCACCTGCTGATTTTCTACGCTCAAAGCTCTAGCAAATCGAGGGCAGGATCCCGCCGCCTCAGCCACCTATCATCGTCTCAGATCTCCTTCCTAAGCTCCTGGTGCAGCTTTTCTCCTGCATACCAGCTGAACTTTTACCCTTCTCTGCCTCCTGTCCTGCCTGATGTTCAGACTATTCCCTGCCTCATTCATCCTCCGGCCTTTTCCGTCAACAGTATCCAGGCCCCTAGGGGAAGACCGCTGTAAGCCTTTTGCTAAGCTTTTCATCAGAGCACAAACTGATGAAAAAGCAACAATCTAGAAATAAGTAAGAAAAATTACTTAAACTTAAATCAATATATATTTCTGATTACAGTGTTAGAAAATAATGTTTCCATATTTCAGAAATTTCTCCTACCTTTGCACCAGGGATTCCCGGGGGTCCCGGAGGCCCAGGTAAACCAGGAAGCACCTAAGAAAAAAATGAAAGAATGTCAACAATTGGTTCTGGGTTCAAATCCCGGCCCGGGGTCTTTCTGCATGGAGTTTGCATGTTCTCCCTGAGCATGCGTGGGTTCTCTCCGGGTACTCTGGCTTCCTCCCACAGACCAAAAACATGACTGTTGGCTTCTCTAAATTCTCCTTAGGAGTGAGTGTGTGCGTGGATGGTTGTTTGTCCTGTTTGTCTCTGTGTTGCCCTGCGATAACTGACTTTTACAAATGAAATGGTTACTCTGCTAGTTACTGGTAAATGCGTAGTAATGCTGCGTTCAAACCAAAAAGCATTTTTGGCATCAAAAACTCATAAACGCAGAAATCTGTACGCTGGATCAAACGGAGGTTCAGTTGCCTTTCTGTTTGGCGTTCCGATGTTTATCTGCTCTGTTCTGTGGCATCAAACTAGAGAGCAGCTTGGCTTTATTTACTTTATGAGTTGGAAAAATAGTGTTAACAAATTTTTAAGTGAGAAAGTCCACCTCCAAAAATCCTCTGTTCATCAGGATTATGATCCCACTAAAATATGCAGTTCCTGTTCGGACCGCCAGACCTCCAGCCAGGAGGCATCGCTGTAAAATCCCCACTGAAAGCTCTCTGCTGCGGCCAGCCTGTGAGGGATTTGCAGCTACCGTTCGTAGCGGCTGGAAGTGAATAGAAAGACTTTTTAAGGCCGGTCTTAAAAACTGCTATTACCAGAACATACAATCAAATCTTTTTTATCAGCAGGTTTTAACATTTCTAGTTAATCTGGGTATTTATAAACCGTTTCTCCATAGTTTATAAAAAATGTTTTAGTGCAGCAATAATGATCAGAGCTGCTGTCTGTTCCTTCTACATAACAATCCACTCTATTTAACCTTTGGAGTTTAACTCCTTGATATTTTTTCATGTTTCATATGTTGAATTTCCACAGAAGTGATGACAGCTTGCAGGTAGTGTCTGTCTCTGCCAAAAAACTCCTGGATCAGCTTTTCTGATTGGTTGATGCTCCGGCGTCCAGCGGCAAAAGTTCAATTCACTGAACTTGGAGAGAAATATCAGCTGTGCTGCTGCCATCAACACTTTCATTTATAGATGTTCAAGATCGGTGTGTTTTTCAGTGTAGTCCTATTTCTCTAACTGTGACTAACTAGATGTGCTCTCTTCATCCTCTGACATGGGAGCTGGCTCGGAGCTCGTCTGCCTGGCTGTGTGTTTCCCGGACGGGGCCGCCTTTTACAGTTGCTTTTTGTTTCTCTGCTTCTGTCTCCTTGAACCCCAGTCGGCCTCAGCAGATGGCCGCTCACACTGAGCCTGGTTCTGCTGGAGGTTTCTTCCTGTTAAAAGGGAGTTTTTCCTCTCCACTGTCACTACAAGCATGCTTAGTGTGAGGGATTGCTGAAGAGTCAATGAGTCGATGCAATCAACTGGTTTTCCTTAGATAGAAAACTTTAAATCAATTTGACTGGATGATCTGGCGAACTGTAAAGTGCCTTGAGATGGGCGCTATAGAAATAAACTGAATTGAATTTAACTCCAACATCGAACGCTCGGATACTCAGATGCCAGAAAGCTTTAAATACCCCGCTGGAACTCTCAACGCCAGCCTCCATAAACTTTGCATGTAAACCAGATGCTTTGACACCCAGAACTCGCCCGGTCTGAACCCAGTATTTAACACAGTTGGAGCTCAGGCATTATTAAGTAACATCTTAGCTCCAACAATGCCAATGACCAGATGATCGGACAAGATTAAAAGGTTAATGTAAAAGGAACCTCTATTAATTCATGAACTCAATGTTCAAATAAACAAATGTATCTTTTGATTTTATTTAAGTAAACAGTAGCTATATGAGACCCTGTATGCAGCCTGTTGGATTATGTTGCTGGAATGTCTCGCTGCCCTCCTCAGCTCAGCCATCAGTCGCAGAAATGAGGAGAGACGGGGCAGGATGTCAGAAGATAAATAGCAGAGGTTTTCTCTACTGAGCGGTATGATGATCTGTTAGGAGGTATTCCTCCTCCATCCATGTATGAGTCGTTTGCTGCTGTCTGATTCTCCCATGAACCAATAACCTAAAATGTGTAGTGAAGTCCCTGAAAATGACTTACCCTTTGTGGTATATTGCGGATATCCTGTAGAAAAACACACAGTGTTACTATGTTACAGAACATGTCCTACATTGTAGATAAAGGAAAGATTCTGGGACTGGAATACATTTTCAGTGTTCTGGATATCAGCCTTTCCTGGAATCCCAGTTGGCCCCCGTGGACCCTAAACAATAAAATAAAAAACATTTGTAAAAGTAGCTTCAATCTTAGATCCCACAAAGTGGAGGGAAAAATTGAAATGATGAGTTGTTGAAGACTTACTCTTGGACCAGCAGGGCCTTCCATACCTGGTTCCCCCTAATATAAAAAAATAAATAAATTATATATTTCCATTGTGTTTCACCTTAAACTGGATTTTTTTTTCAATGCTTTAGTTTTTATATCTCACCTTGTTTCCTTTCTCACCCTAAAAAGATAAAATTTTAAATGTCATTAAGTTTTTCTCTAAAGTGGTCACTGCTAACTACAAGGTGTCTTTGAAACATGTCTCACCTTGGGCCCAATTGGACCTGGTACTCCTGGTGAACCTGGTTCTCCCTTACACCCCTTCTCCAACAGGTTGGGCTCTCCCTTTTCACCCTGGTGCAGAAGGAAAATGCAAGTCTTCACTAACAGCATGCAAGTTTCTTTGATACATCAGAAATCCAGTTGTTACTGTTCATACAGGATTCCAAAGAAGTTAAAAAACAATCCACTGGATTGTATTTCCAAGTTTGAAGATTTCTTGCTTCCCATCCAGGAAGCTTTTTCATATCAAAATGTCAGAAATAGCATTGAATTCGAGGTTTTAGAGAGTGGACCAAAACAAAGCCTTGGTTTTGGCTTAGAAAACATGCTAATTGAACCGGAGGAACGGGTCCGCCCCTTAGGAATAGAGTTGTTTGGGTTCTTTGTCAGCTTACAGGCTAACAAAGAACTCCCATTTCCAAATATTTTGTGGAAGGAAGCATAAATACTGCTCTCCGCATTATCGTCCCCCATGGTTGTTGTTTTTCTTGCCGCTTCTGCGTAGCAAGACGCAGAATAGTGACCTTTGTCTGCTACTAATGGCATTCAGGTTGGATGAATGTCACCTGGCCGTTCAGACACAGGTCACATTTGAAAAGATCAGATTCATATCGGATTCAGGCCCACAGAGCCAATTTACCTGCGTCGCATTGGAAAAAAATCAGATCTGAGTTGTTCAGACTGTCATGAAAAGATCAGATCCAGGTCGCATCTGGGCCAAAAAATCGGATTTGGGTCACTTCAGGCTGCTGTGTGAACGTAGACTTACTAAGTCAAAGGAGAACACCACAACCCACCTCCCACCGCAATTGTGAGGAAAAATTATCTATTTGTATTATTAAGAACAAGATCATTAGATGAATAATTGATGTTCATACCACAAATCAGGAAATACTTAGAATTGAAGAGACCAAAGTATTTTTGCATCTCAAACTCAGCTGGTACTTACCGGTGGCCCAGTGGGACCATTAGGGCCTGGAGATCCGGGGGGTCCTGGAGGACCTGGGGGCCCTTGTATGCCAGGGACACCCTGCTGAGAGGTTTTAAGTTACAATCTGTCATGAAGCACATCTGGAATCACTATAACACTTACATAGCATCACCTGAATAAACTACAAAAAAATAAAATACAGACTCCAAAGTCTGACTAATTTTAGGCAAAAACAACTTCATGAGGGTCTAAATGAGTTCCAAGATATTCCTTATGAAACCATCCTAACTATTCTATTCAAATATAATGAAAGATGTCTGCGCTAATTTGATTTCATTAAAGCAGCAATGTCTACCTTTTAGCCACTAGGGGCGCTAGACCTGTAACCTCAAGGCCATTAGAGTGAAGGTTTCAACAGGGGGTTCCGCAACCCATAGGGGTCCACAGAGGCACTGCATAGTTTTGGTTGATTAGACTTTTTTTTTTATATTCCCCCACTGCAATTTTTTCCACTAATTGAAATGTCTTTAAATCCACATTAACATGAATTCAACAACCGTAGTAAAGAGATAAATTGAGGCAAAAGATGTCTTTCAGTCATCAATGCACACATTCAGCGACACACAGGAGCTCTTTCAAGCTGGGCACCGTTTCATTCACAACACCTGTCCCATCAACCAGGAATCAGAATCAGAAATACTTTAATAATCCCAGGGAGAAATAACTTTTGGTACTGTTAGCTACGCAGCTCCTTGTGCGTGGAATTTTTTACAAAGAAACTGGAAGTTGACCGAGTTTTTATCTTTAAATGCTTTTAAGTTGAAAGTGAAAGAATTTGAAGCAGCCTCAATGATATGTAATTGTTTTACTTGAAATGTTTTTTATGTACCTGTCATTTAATTTAATGTATCTCTGTTTATTATGTAACTTTGCTGGCTCTTGGCCAGGACTCCCTTGAGAAAGAGGTTTTTAATCCCAATGGGATTTTTTCCTGATTAAATTAAGGTTAAACAAAAATAAAAATGTAATAGAGTGACTATAGGACCAGTTTGATATAGCACCATTTCAAACAATATATATAAAAAGGGGGTCCCCGCTCCATCTCGCCATCAGTTTGGGGGTCCTTGGCCTGGAAAACGTTGAAGACCCCTGTCTTAGAGGAACTGGGCAGCAATGCTAAACTTTCCAAAAATGATCCAGCCTGCCTTAGTGTTCTGGTATCAGACCAGTTTGGACCAGCATATAGAGAAGTCCTGGAAATCCTTTTAAAGACAAGACCACATCATTCCCAGTAGATTAAATCCTACATCAGAAAATTAAACAGCATATATTAGCCATACAGGCTGCCATTATTTATACTTCTAAATCCTCTCCCACTGTCATGGTAATGAAGGATGTAATCAGTTTTAACACCCACAAATCATATATTTATGAGAAAATGGCTTCCTAATGAGAAAATTATCATCTCGTCATCCCGTAAAAACCAAAAAAGTATTGGAAGGACACGACCCCTCTGGGCTTCCGTACAGATGAACCTTTTCCAACCACACTTTTTCCTGACACATTTAAGTTTTTATGAATATGACTGTATGCAGCCCTCTGCAGACAACCATCCATTAGCAGGGACCGTTTAAAGCTTCCCCTTTTTTCACATTTATTTGCATTTCTGTGAAGTCAACACTTTCCTACCTGACCGAAACGGAGAAACCATTCGGTCCCAAGCAGTTGTTTTAAGTTAGCTAGCTGGTTAGCATGTGACATCACGTGTTTCCTGAATTAAACATTATTCTTTTTTGCTACACCTTCATCTGCGGATCATCATCAGATAATAAGCGCATGAAAAGTTTAGATTTCTATCAAGATATTCTATAGTTTTTGGATCCAGCAGTTTCCAGGTTAGAACTTTGCAGGTAATATAACTGGTGTTGCACCAATAAAGATGCCAGTATCAGATGGGGCCCGATCTAGCACTAAAATTATGGTATCGATATCGGCGACTACCAACAAATAGGGCATCGATACCATTTATAGAGCCTAAAGTTTATTCAACTATTGTCACTAATTCCAGGTGGGCAATAAAAAGTTCTACTGGATTTACTTTGTTTTAGTCTTTTTCCTGCTTCACAAAGGTAGGCAGCAGCTTGACAAAGCCATGATGGCAGTTATTTTACATCCAAGTAGTATGCAGTTCTTTATATATACACACACATCAATTTCAAACAGATGGTATCGGCCGATCCTGCACAGCCAGGTATCATCGGGCCAAAATATGGCATCGGCACAACACTAAATATAACCAAACATTTCAGAGCATTGATGGGCGAAAGATGGTTAATTTCAAGAGGAGGACAGAAAAGTTGCTTACATGTGGTTGTATTAATACAGAAATTTGGTAGAGATAGAGTTTTACCTTGAGCCGTTTTAGGATTAGAGGGCTTATAGAAGGCATGTTTCGAAGGGTGATGGGCAACATCTGCAAGAAGAAGTTAGAAAGCAAATTTGACCAACATGCATACAGTTTTCAGAGGAACTTTAAACAAAGTCAAACAAGCGTAAAAAGTGAAGATAAAAATTAAGAAAAATGTAAATAGATCACAGCGATGGGAAACTGAAGGAGGAAAAAACAGTATTTAGGTGCATAATAAAGCTGAAGACAAAAAGGAAAAATAGAAGCATGCGCATAACAAGGCCAGCACCAGGAACAGCAATGGAAAAAAATCTAAATCTAGATAAGTCATTTTTTTCTTAAAAAGATTGCATTTGTTCTTGGATTGAGGAGTTAAAAGAGACATTTTGCCAATGGAACAATACAGTTTACTTTTAAAATAAGAAAACACAATTGCATTGTGTTTTATTTCAAGTGCCTAATTAACTTATTCTAAGAGTAAAAATACTTATTCCATTGGCAAACTATATCATTTACCTGCTCAAATTATGTGTAAATCCACTTAATTTAAGTATTTTTTTTACTTATATCTAGATCGTTTTTCCAGTGAGATAACTAGTCAGTGAATTTTCTATGGGCTGTCTTTGGGGGGGAATGTAAAACATCAATGTTTCTGGTTCTTAAACTACCATGATGCTCCCATTGCCGCAGCACTTTTACAAGCTTTTTCTATTAATAATTGGAAATCTTTACTTGAAGCTGAGTATAGATGGGCTTTTGTTTTTCCATGAGAAATAAAATAAGTTTTAATTCAATATTTATCCAGCGTCATTAATTGAAATTATCTGATTTAGCACTACCAATCTGGGTCCCTGAGCAAGAGCCTTGGCCCCATACTCCCCGGGCGCTACACAGAACTCCCCCCAACCCCCCGGGCCCCGATGGATGGGTTAAAAACAGAGAACATGTTCTATTGTAATGTTCAAAGGTTCAATGATCAGAGATGTCCAAAGTATACATGTTTATTACACAAGTAGAAATACTACTGCTTAAAACACTTAAGGATCAACTTAGATTTTTACTCCAGTAAAAGTGTAAAAGTACCATTTTAAAACCACCTAAAGTATAAAAGTAAAAGTAGTGCAGGAAAAAAATGTTAAGGGCAGAAGCTTTACTGTACTACCCTATTGAAGGAAAATTTTTGTACAATTCTGGATGATAACTTCCTTAGACTTAAGCCGTTTCTCAATTCATAAGAACTCGAGTACAGACTTGTGTCCTCACCAAGCATTTTCTTGAAAAGAACACAGGAAAATATGGACTCCCGGCATCCTGGGAATCAGGGGAGGATCTGGAGAAGGATGGAATCTCCGTGAGGGCCTCCAATTCGCAGTTCCAGTCCCTTTGGCAGAAGGAGAATCTTCCCAGGCCCTTGTGGTCGAGAGTTCGACCCCCAGAGTTTGGAAGGTCAGGATGGCTCTGAAAATTCCCTCAGGAGTTCAGTTAGCTCTGACTCAGGGGAGGACCCATGTCAGCTGCGTACAGTTATTAGGGCAGCCTTGGCCAGAGTTGGTTCTGACCCATTCAAGGTTCCTCATTCTCCAGCCTTTTTTGCAGTTGCTTCATCGTTGTTGGGTGTATCCTAAGCGCCTCTCCCACCATGGTAGGGATGCGCAGATCCTAGGGTCTATGCGCAACCCTGGGGACTATGGTGTGGACCATATGCCCCCAGTGGACCACTGCATTGCCTCTCTGTGCAATGAGACCTCCCACTGGTGTTTAGTGCTCTAAGTGGGGGAGTGGCAGCCAAATAGTTAGAGCATAGAGCTTGGAATCCTGATGCAAATTGGCAGCCCATTGCTCCCAAAGGGGATGAGTTAAAGGCAGAGGTAAATTTCTCCAATGTGAAATCAATAAAAGTTCAATCAAGTTTGTGTCCATGAGAACCGCCTTTCTACTGGCGATAACGACAGGCATGAGGGTCAGTGATTCCACCAGTGGTGGCCATCACACCGACCTGCCTCAGTTGGAAGGCGGGTGGTTCCGGGGTGACGCTGTGGCCAAACATCGCCTTTGTTCCCAAGGTTCTGCCACCGGGCTACGTAAACTCAGCCATTGAACTGGCGGCCCGATTCCAGTCAGATGAACAGAGGTTGGCGAACACACTGTGCCCGGTCGGGGCTTTGCAGCTTTACATCATGGCAGCTGTGGGAGTGTATTTACATCCTGGACGGCAATGAGGGGCGTGCCACTGGTGGACATGTGTGCGGCAGCATCTTGGGTGACACCATGGGTATTTGGTAAAGCCAAGTCCACACTAGCTTCGACGATCCTGCCTCTGGCTTCCTCTACCTCCTAGGCGGTGAGTACTCCATTTCTTGTGACATTCCCCCACACTTCTCCCACAGAGAGAAGGTCACAGGAGACAGAACATGGCCTTTAAGGTGATATTTATAGACACACACCCAGGTGAGCTATGTGTCAAATGCATGGCTTTGTTTACATTTTATCTTGACCTGCGCAAAGCGTGAGGAGACATATCCACTTTATTTACTGTCACCGACAGTCAGGAAGGAATGAAAAACAACATTAGTTATAAAACTAAGAAAGTCAGGTCTAAAGGCTTATTTAAATTCAGAAACCGGGTTGTCTGTGTGTGTGTGTCACAGTGAATGCAGATATGCTCCCGCCCCTTCTGCAGACACTCTACTGCACCTCCCCACAGACAGTGCCGCAGACAGGAGGCCTCTGATTGGTCAATTCTATATACGCTCTACACTATGCGTATTTCCTGTTTGTTACCCTACTGGCTTGTTTTGTTTGTATGACCACCATTGTGGAAAACGACTCGTGAAAATGGACCAGCTAGAAGAGCGAGGTGCGCGAGAAAACTGGGACCATTTTTCCGCCTGGATCCTCATTCTTTTTTTGTCCCTCCGTTGTCACACAAACTAGCCCCTTGTGTTTTTCCACTTCCTCACTGCCTCTTCCGTATCTAGACCAACAGGTCGTTTCTGATTGTTCCTCTTGTGTTGTGGCCTGGAATAACATAGCACAGACCACGCTTCAAAATGGGGCATAAATCAAAAATATAAGCTCACTGCAACACACTCCTGCGGGAGGATAACCAGCCCTTAAGGAAGTTATTACCCAGATTGTAGGAAAATGTCCTTTAATAGGATAGTGCAGTAAAGCTTCTGTGCTCAACATTTTTTCTTGCATTACTTTGACTTTTATACCTTAAGTAGTTTTAAAATGTTAATTTGATCAACTTTGTTAACTGCCACTGGCAGTCATCCAGGAATTCACAGAACCATAGTTACAACGTAACTAATGGTAACAGTGTCAAATTTAGCTTTGCATCATCTTGAAAAACTATTTATTTCAGTATGTGGTGAACAACAAGTTGGAGAAGCACCGAGTCCAAACAGAAAGAAATTAATTGTCTGGATGAGACAAATTATTTTTGATAAGCAGTAGAAAGTGGAGATAACTGCTAAAAAAGAAAAAAACTGTAAGGAGTAGAAGTAAAAAGTTCTCCAAAGAATAATTACTCCAGTAAAGAACAGATAGCCTAAATTTCTACTGAAGTAAGGCAACAAGTATTTCTACTTAATTAAACACCTTTGGGCTGAATTTGATGGAAATACCGCAACAGTTAATATTTACATTTGTAATTTTTCAAAATTAACACAATATTTCCATAGTTTTGTACACATTTATAATCTAAACAAAACAATCGTTAATGCCATTTACCAAGCTCATGTACACTCTCCTCTGCTGCAACGTAAAATGCCAAATTAATGTAAAATATCAGCACATGAATCAGTGTTTTAATATGATGGCGTAACGATCTGTCTGAAAGAAGCAGAACATTTTTTACTTAAATTGACAACAACCGAAAGTAAAACAGACAAACTCTTCAATACAATAAGTCTCTTTCTTCAAAGTAAAAAAAAAAACTCTTTAATTCTGTGATGTTATTTTTCAAATTCATTATTTAATATAGTGCAATAAATGTCCAATTTAATTTAATTCAACAGCAGTTTCGGAGGGTACGAGTTTCTGCTCATTAAATTCCCATTATTTTTGTAGATGCATGTTTTATGCATGGAGATGTTTTATTTTCTAAAGTGCAATGTTGTAACTTTTTGGTATAACAGATGTAATTATTTAATTTCTAAATCAACAGATCACAACTTTAAAAAGGTCCCATCCAGTTAGCTTTTCAATCTGAAAAAACAAGAGTCTATATTTCCCATGAAATCAGGGAACACTTTAGCATGCTCTTACAATATAGCAAAGAAAAGAGTGAACTGATCTTACCCGGTGTGTCAAATCTCCACAAACACCCTGGAGAAAAAAGAAAAGGAAATTCATGCACCTCAAACCATTACATATTTTGAATAACATTTTTAGACATAAAGAGTAAGAAAAACGTTATATTTGAATGATAAACTTTACCGTATAAATTAAACATGCTTATATGATTGGACTAAATTGGCATTTTTGTTTAATTTGTTTGTGCAAAACTAAATTTACTACATTCAATTTCCCTTCTAAACTGCATCCAAAGAAATAATATTACTTTTGGTTTGGCGGGATAGACTGGAAAACTGGATTAAGATCAGATTAATGGCCTTCTTACACTGTGCAATATTAGTTATATTCAAAGACTATTCCATCATAAATTAGATCTACAGTAGCAGCCATTCAAAATGGCAGTTCCCTATCAAACGCCAACCAAATAGCAGCCCACTTCCCTGATACTCCCAGCAAAATGCCCTCCAACTTCCAGCCGCTGGAGTGATGCCCCCTTCTCCTGGGTTTGCATATTTCCTACATTGCAGGGTCTGACCAGGAGATAATCGTCCTCTTCAGATCTTAACATTCACAAATCATGACAGAAAGAATATTTTAGTACAAGATTGATGTTTAAAAAGGAATTGTAGGGGACCAGCCAAGGAGATATGCTTAGAGACATTAAGCATAATGATAGGCGCTGGTAAAAGTCTGGTAAAAGATATTTACTCATGAGGATTTAAGCACCTATGCGTGGTCTTAAGGCTGATTTATACTTCCAAACTAGGTTGTCTGTGTAGGTGTTGGAGTGAACGCAGATATGCCCCCACCCCTTCAGCAGACTCTCTGCTGCACCTCTCCAAAATTGTAGGTGACTGCAGACAGTGCAGCAGACAGGAGGCCTCTGATTGGTCAAATCTACATCCGCTCTACACTATGCGTATCTCCTGTTTGGTAGCTTACTGGCTTGTTTTGTTTATATGACCACCATTGTGGTAATCGACTTGTGAAGATGGATCAGCTAGAAGAGCGAGGTGTGCGAGAACGCTGGGACCCTTTTTCCACCTGGATCCCCGCTCTTTTTCCCCCTCATGTCCCTCCGTTGTCAGACAAACTTTCCCCCACTTCCTCACCGCCTCAACCATATCTAGACCCACAGCTAGTTCCTGATTGGCCCTGATGCGCTGTGGCGTGGAATAACATAGCGCAGACCACGCTTCAAAATTGAGCATAAATCAAAAATGACTTATAAATCCTCTCCTACTGTTGTGGTATTGAATGATGTAATCAGTTTTAACACACACCAATCATCTCGTTATCACGAGAAAACGGCTTTCGTTACCTTTAGATAATGAGAAAATTAAATAGTTTTCTCAAGAAAACCATACTGAAAAAGTATCAGAGGGACACGACAGCTCTGGACTTCCGTACATAAAAAAATGAACACTTGGTTTAAAAGATAGTGCACAAACCTGTTGTCTGGAGTCTGCAGACGTTAACAGACAGGAGTATTTATGAGTCTGTTGTCTTTAGTCTGAATAATCCCAAAATTGCTCAGTGTTTACAGGCCAACGGATTAATTGGTCATAAAAAAGAGGAAATGTTTTTTAAAGAATATAATCTTAAGAATATATCTAATAGTTAAACAACAACAAACTAACACCTCTCACCTTTTCCCCTTTGGGTCCTGGATGCCCCTAGAAAGCAATGGAAAAAAAAGTTAAACCACCTTTTTACTGTTATTTTGACAAAAAGTGAATAAAAAAGCAATCTTAAAAACTCACCAAGTTTCCTTGAGGACCACGATGACCCTAAGAAATAACAGCCACACAGTTTACCTCCAGTCTTAAATATGTTGGAAATTGAAAATAAAAAGAAATGACAATATTCTATTGAAGCAGCTGAGAGGCTAAATACTTGAAAGTATTAATAGAATTAATTATTGTCAGAAGCTTCTTGCTAACCAGTTAGCAACTTAGTGCTAGTAGGTTCCCAATGGGAAATTCCATTGGGACCAAGTAGCACTAAATTGGTGACTTAGAAACGACACTGTCAAGGAACGCTATGGACAGAGGAAACATGCAAGAGGAGCGTTTAGTGTCGGAGGTCGTGGATGAGTCTCCTCCATCATCCATTTTTTATTTAGAGGAGGAAAGCGGGGACGTAGATGTTGTTCAAGAGGACGCCAGGGCGGCAGAAGCTTGGTTTGGTGTAGAAGGCTTCCAGCCGTCCATGTTTGAGTCCTTGCCTCGCAACGCTGCCAGTTCTGTTAGCTCTACGCCTGCTGAAGACACAGACGTCCATCCCCGTGAACACTGGGACGGAACTCAGTGGGAAAGGAAATGATTCTTATTTCAACCGTTGCGTATATTAACTGCAACGTATGAATCAAGATGCTTTGACCGAAAAAATTGATTGACAGATGACCGTTGATATAGGATTGGCTTAATTTAGGTGTTCAGGCTGACATATAACTAACTGGTCGGCATAAGATAATAGAAAAAAAACACAGATTTTAAGACAGGATTTTTTTTTTTTAAATAGCAATCTTCTAAAGTTTGGGACAATATTGTCTGATAAAGAGTACATTTATATACATGTTTAAGCCAGAATCCTTTGACATTTAAATATGATTTCCTTATGACTTTAAAAGAAAGTTCTTATCGCAGGCATTGGATGAAAAGATGGAGAGTTTGGAGGTAAAGAACAAACATAGTTCATACAAACCAATTTCGTATGATCCTAGTTATCACTGTTACAAAAATCCACCACAAAAAGTTTCTGTTACTAGTCTATGTCCGTTTATTAGTCTGCTGCAGCAGGAGGATACCACACACTAGCTTGCTTGATGTTGCCATGACAACATTACTTCCATGAACTTGTGTTTATCAGGCCTCAAAATAATTCAATTCAAATCCAAATATGTGTAATAGTAAAATAAAAAAGGCTAAATAATTTCTCAAAATATTCATAAGAAATTTGTAAATTGTGCAAAGTATTTTTAATACACATTTTTTAACATTTCCCTCTGGCCATTAGGGGGTGCTGCACTCCCACTTTCCGCAGCCATGACACTATGTATGAGATATCTTAATACTTACTATATCTCCCTTTTGTCCTTTTTGCCCCTAGTGAAAGAAAACATCAGGTTATTACAGTGAGCTGTTAGCTTGACGGAAAAGGCATCATTTAATCAAAAATACCAAAAGCCTTTAAAAACATAAAGACCATAATAATGTGTTAGGTTGTCTTAAAAAAAAACAAAAAAAAAACTCACGGGCTTGCCATCCAACCCTATGGGACCCTATGAAAAGAGAAACATTTTTGAGTCCAACTAAATAAATCACTGAGACAATTTCTATGAAAAAAATATCTTAAAACTAGACAAAATAAATGGTGATATAATGGCTGCAAATTCAGAGGAAAAACAGTTAACCTGGTTAAGGAAATTAATTTCTATACCAGGGGTCACCAAGATTTTTTGTGTTTGTGGACAAGACATGCCTTTTTCCCATAACAAAGATTCTTTCTCAAGGTTTACATTAACATATATTTATCGTTTCTTTTCATTTTCCAATTTTCTTTTAGACATTTTCCTTTTGAAATCTCTATAAATGATTAAATTCTCTATATGTATATATATTAATAGATTTAAATGCTCTATAAATGATTAAAGAAGAAGGAAAACAGAAAAAATGTATTCAAAGTCAGCCCAGTGGTGAGTTGTGCTGGTTTCAGAAAGTGCTGAGGGCACCTCATTGCGGGCCCCTTGATGCCTGCAGGCACACACCACGTTGGTGACCCATGTTCTAAACTCATTTGGAAAAAAAAAAGCAAAGGAAGGACAACTACAGGTATAATGATTTTTTTTTTTTGTCAATTTAATGTGTTATAAATCCAGTGAAATACTTCAAGCAAGCTACTTAAAAACAATGACATAAAATGAGATATTAACATAAATATACTGTCATGCAAATTTTAAATGGCTGTGTTTATTGTTTCGAGTCACTGAGTTACTGAGTCTGGAGCTAATATGTGACATAATGTGACTAACTTGTATTGGTCTACCCTATAGTACAAATATAGATTGGGTAAAAACACTGCCAAATTAGATTGGTTCCAACCTGTTTAAAACCAAAAACCGTGGAAAAACTATTATGTTTGAATAAAATGACTAAAAATCTGTCATTTTGCTCATTATTGCCCAATTTGCACTAACACTTTCACTGTCTGCTTGAGCTTATGTCATTAAAACGGCAGGAAAACAGTGTACCCAAAAGGATTGTTCTCTTCTAAGACATTTTACACAAAAAAACACAAACTATTTTATTATACACACCAATTATTAAAAATTTCAAAGGAACTTAAGTGGGGAAAAAAAGGCAAAAAATCACAAATTTTATTACTAACTGTAGTTCTGTACTCCACCAGTAGATGGTGACATGTTCACATGGAGCCTCATGAACTGTGGGGATTGTTGAAGCAATTTTGCCAAACAGTTTAAGGGCTCTGTTCGAAAACCTGGGCTGCATCCTCCAAGGACGCGGTCTACCTAGACTGGATCCTTCGAAGTCCTTGAAAATAAGGAGACCGGAAGAGTTTTGGCTGTAAATTCGACCAGGTCTACCCTTCGGCGGGTTTTACCGCCGTATGCTCTGTTGCTTAGCAACCGAGAAAGTTGACACACAAAGCAGGAACAGAATGAAAACCGGGTGTTTTCAAAACTGTTTGTTTATTTCTTTGAGACTGATGCGAATCCAGAGTGGAATAAAGGTTCCATCCACCGGGAGCAGGAACAAATAAAATCAAATGTAATGATAGAAACCTTAGTCAGTTAAATAACCTGCTGCTGTCATTTTGCACATCTCTGATGTTGCTGCTATTTTCAAATATACATTACTGTAAAAATGTCCATAGCTGCATATTGGTTTTTTATTCTCCAGTTTTATATTGTTAAAACACTTTAAAGTATTTTATTCTTTATATTTTAACTCCTCCCTATTATGTTATTCTTATACATTTTTCTAAGGTCTTCATTTGTGTGACCATTTCAATAATCTTTCTGCTGCTGTAAATTTGCCCATTGTAGGACAATAAAGGGATTTTCTATTCTATTCTATAAAAAGGGTAGAAATATATAAGTAAATCTAAACAATGTATGTATAAAAATATATCTGCAAAATCTCTAATATTCAACAACAAAAAATATTTTACTAAGCATATTGTGCAAAACAGCAATAAAAAATTAAACGCCTATCAGATTTATAGTTCCCACCCTGCAGATCTATTATAATATGTCCTTAAATTACAGCCAAACCCATTTACACAGTAACAGATTAAAACCTTTAGATAAATCAAACATTACAGCCACATATCTGACTCAATAACCATTAAAACAACTATTTTCATTCATTTCAGACGGAACTATTCACAGACTGGATTATATTAAACTGAACTTCCAATTTTCACCACTGTTCGGCGCCAAGTAACCTTTCCTCTGATCACAGCTTGCTTGGTCTCGCAATGAATCCTGGGATATCCAAGGATACCGAGGATACATCGGACCCATCCTTCAAATTGGGCAAAAAGAAGGACGCATTTTAAGGCCTCATAACGAGGACTCTTGGAATCCGACCAGACCTCGGCGCCGCGCTATGACGTAATCGTCCTTCGAATCTGGCCTTCTAAGGACGCGTCCTAGGTTTTCGAACAGAGCAAATGCCTCATGAGGCCTCATCTCACCATCACTACTATTTGTATGATAAAGTGTTTGAACACCTGAAAAAAATCCATCTTAATATTTGGTACATTAGACTTTGTTTGCAATTCTAGAGGTCAAACGTTTCCTGTAGTTTTTCACCAGGTTTGCACGCACTGCAGGGGGGATTTTGGCCCACTCCTCCACACAGATCTTCTCTAGACCAGTAAGATTGCTGGGCCATCACTGAGAAACACAGAGTTTAAACTCCCTCCAAAGATTCTCTATTGGGTTGAGGTCTGCAGACTGGCTAGGCCACACCAGAACCTTAATATGCTTCTTCCAGCGCAACTCCTTGGTAATCCTGGCTGTGTGCTTTGGGTCATTGACATGTTGGAAGACCCAGCCTCTTGGTGTTCATATAATTATTTGCAGCTGTATCATACAAATAGTAAAAGAAAAAAATCTTACATTAGGATTTCTGGATTATTATTATTTTTTAGATTATGTCCCTCACAGTGGACATGCAACTATGATCACACTTTCACGACGATGATTTCTAAGTGGGAAAACTTGCAAAATAGCATGGGGTTCAAATTCTTATTTCTCTCACTGTAACCAAACAATCTGTCTCCCTTAAATAGTGAAGTGACTTACTGGAAACCCAGGGAATCCTCTTGTACCAGGCTGTCCCTGGAAAGAACAAAAAAATAAAAAATTAAACCCCTCGTTGATAGCCTATCATAAAAACAGGGGCAGACTTGCCCTATGGGAAATTAGGCAACTGCCTGGGACCCCTTACTTTACAAGCAGCCCCCACCAGTGAGCGGCCCTGCTGGTTGCCCACCCCTCTAAAAGCAATCTGGAAGGTGCTTTGCTGCATTGGATGCAGGTCCAGCAGATTCTAGAACAGCTTCTACCCCACTGCCATTAGATTGCTGAATGTTGAATAGAATGAAATTTGCATTTTTTCTAAACCAAAAAAATTGTTTTGGGTTACCATATAAAGCTTGGAACTAAGAGCTAATTCTGTCATTTGAATTTTAAAAGCTTCCTGGTAGGGAAGCGAAACATCTTCAAACTTGGAAAAACATCTTTAAACTTTTTTACTTTTTTGCAATGACTATGACCTGGAAACTGAGAATCACACCAAACTGAACACCTTGCCTTGTGCTGTGAGCAGTGTCATTGCAGGCAGTTCAGTGTCAAACTGTAAAAATGTAGCTTTGTGCTGACCTGCCTGCGTGGAGTCTGCCTCAGGTCCACACAGACTCTCAGCAGACATTTGTAGTGTTTGCAGTGCTGGATAGTCGGAGCATATAAGGTCTCTGAAAGGCTCGACTGACAATGTCACTTTTGTTTAGACTTGCATAGTTCTCCACTTCTTTCCGTACACTGATGAAGTCTTTAAGTAACTGAATGACTCAGGTCCTTCTGGCACATAAATGTTGAATAATTTAATTCCTGTATTTTTTTTTAGGATGTAGGTATCCAACACAATTGGGAAAAGAAAAAACATAGATTTGGGCATTCATTTAAAATGAAATCAAATTAAATGTATTTAATTTTGAATGTTTTTAATGGCCTTAATTTTTTCTGATTTCTATTACTACCTGAGTTTACCCTGTTTTTGTGTGTCTATTACAAGAATTGGTTGAGGAGCTAAATAGTCATTGTTTTTTTTTTTTAAACACGCATGACCAGTAAACCAACTGAAATCAAATTTTTACCTCCCGCAAGCAGAAACATATGCTATTGTAAAATTATAGCACACACATGATTCAAATACTGTTTTTCTCTTTTTATTGAGACATTTGGGATACTCACAGGAGGTCCTCTTGGTCCTATGATAGAGTAACCGGGCTCTCCTGGTGTACCCTGTGAACACATATCATAAACATAGACAGAACATTAAAAGGGAGAAATAGCATATTGATTTATTTATATGGCCCCAATAACACATATAGAGTAGCAGCCATTCAAAATAGCCTGTGGAGTTTAGGAGGAAGCTTAGACTCTTGCAAGAGAATGTTCAAATTTATTTAACTTCCTCAGACAGAGAGATAGAGCTCTGACTGGGGCAAGCAGAGTACATACACTAATACCTTACAAAATCCCAACACACACACTCTCCTTTGGAACTATCCCACCCCTACATAAAGAACTTTCTGACACACGAACATTTGAAGGAAAAACAACTTGAGTTCATCAAGGCCATTCTCTGTTAGGTTAATACATCTTTCACTGGCCAGATAGATCTTCTCAAAACAACAGTCCTCCCCTTGATGCCATTCTAACTCATTCTAATTTCTCATGACCTTCGTTAGGAGCCTGTGAGGCTTAGAACAGACACATCTCAACATTTTTTACTCCACAGGCGCCTCCCAGTCAAACGGCAACCGAATGGCAGCCTACTCCCCTGTGACTCCCAGCAAAATCCCCTCCAACTTCCTGCATGCATTTTTTTTACTCTGAATCTACCAATTTCACTGAATTACAGGGTCTGACCAGGAGATGACGCTTCTCTTTAGATCTTAATGTCCAAAAATCATGACAGAAAGAATATTTTGGTCCCAAGATTGAAATTTAAAAAATTAATTGTAGGGGACCAGCCAAGGACCAACCAAGAACCAGTCAAGGACCAACCAAGGGCCCATCAAGGAAAGTGTATACAGTATACTACTGTATAACACATGTCGTCTCAAGGCACACAACTGAGTCAATTCAATCCAATCATATAGATAGAGTGGTTAAAAGGTTTCTCTCTTAGAACAGCCATTGATTGAGTGAGTCATTGGCTTGGGGGACATAGCAGAAAGGAAATGTAAAAGGTCAGGTACAGTACAATAGCTGCTAAATCTGGGATATAGAAACAGCCAAGCACAAAAAAACTCAGAGCTAGTATTCAAGTCTGGAAGACAAAACAAGAGCACACAGTTAGATTTAAAGCTAGGCCAACAGCTATGTTTATCAGAAAGACCAAGGCTGTGTCCGAACGTCTGCCTAATCACTATGTAGGGCACTATATAGTCGTTATGCCATTTTAAATGAGTGGCCGTACGTCTAGCGGATGAAAAAGTGGGGGATTCGAAATTTCCCACAATGCATCTTGAAAAGTAGTGATCGTCCATGGTGACTAGTAGATACATACCGCAGTTGCCAGGAGAGCTCTCCTGGCAAAGCATCAAGGGATTTATTATCACAGCGGCCCACTGTCGCCTACGGCTGTCGCTACCCGATAGTGATGTGCCATATGCCATGATCAACAGTGGCGACAAATGACAAAGATGGTGCAGGCACCATTAGGAGAGGCAAAGTTACGTGACCAACGGGGAGTGAAAAGTAGTGATTATCTGTCTGAACGTTCAGTTAACTGAGTTCACTATAAAGTCCACCATATAGTCCCCACTCTATATAGTGATGGAGGGATTTAGGGGTTAGGGCGGATATTCAGGCACAGCCATAATGCATCATGTATAGGAGAACCTTAAAGACCAGCAGCAGCAGCCCTTATGACTGCCTAGGACAACATCCCAGTGAGAGGGAGAGAAAAGGAGGGAGGGAGGAACCGAACAATCTGGGACAAACAAATAAAAAACAACAAAGCAAAGGAGAACCACTTAACCGGACTCAGTTCTACCTTAATGGACCAAGCTATAAACTCTCTCCCTCTTTACTCTGTATTCCTTCAAGGAATATATTCATATTTTTACTCCAAAATTAGTTTAGTTTGAGATAAATTAAATCATTTTTCAGGTCAATATTCAGCACTTGATCAGTGAGAGCAGTACAATAAAAATAACTTTTTTTGTTTCTTTCTTATAGTCCTTTTTTGTCTGTACTAACTATGATGTACTCTATGACGTCTGTATCTGTCTGTGTTTAGTGTGTGTTGTAAATATCTTATTAACAACACACATATCTTATTAGGACTGCTGATGAAAATTAGGCTAAGGCTGTAATCTGGCATATTTACAATTTCTAATTGTCGGGTTTGTGAGGAGGTTTTATTGGACCCAAATGCAGAGATGAGAAGGCAGACATGAGTTTGTTGATTTAATTGGTTCCACAGTTACATTCTGATAACCAAAAAAGCCAGGAAAACGTCAGGGTGAACACATGGGAGCAAGGAGACGACGAAGCAACAAAACAACAAAAAAAACAGCCCTGAGAGAAGACTGTGCTGCTCTTTATACCGCAGGTTTTCTAAACCCGAGAACAGGTTTTCCATTTCACAAAGAGAGTTTTCTCAACTTCTGTTTCAGTCGCTGTAGTAACATCCTCCCAGAGCTAACCTAGTCAGCAGCAGGTTTTCTGCAGTAAATGCGTCCTCTGTCTCCCCTCTCCTTACAGCCAATCACTGTTTTATTTGCTGATTTAGTCAGATTTTTGTTGTAGTTTTGTGCATAAAAAATATATATATGTTATTCTCTAGGTCTGTTTGACACATTAGGTTTTAAAATAAACATTGCATGACCTTTTGACAAGGATCTTTTTAAAGAATGATCTGCACTTTTTCACGGAGAATTCAATATTTATAAGGTGAGGATTCTACAACTCAGTTGACAGGATATGAGTCACTTCATATAAACTTATGCATAAATCGAGCAAAAACTTCTCCTTAGCCATCTTGCTCTTCTTTGAAGCTAAAGCTCTGTTTCTCTGTCTTTTAGACACATTCTCCTTTTTTTATTCTTTTTTTTTTCATTTCTGCAGTCAAATCTCTAGTTCCAGAGGGTTGAAATACGGAACTTCCTGTTGCCTCTTGTCATGGTGACTCTAATCGGGGCTCCTCTGATAATGGCTTTTCATACTTGTTAAGCATACGTTTAACTCTGAGTGGACCTACTCGAGTTGATTGAACTAATTAATAGCAGGCTGCTCAGTGGCTCGCATTGCTGACTTATAGCAAGAAGATTTGATTCCTGGCTCGGAATCTTTCTGCATGGAGTTTGCATGTTCTCCCTGAGCATTCGTGGGTTCTCTCTGGGTACTCCGGCTTCCCCTCACAGTCCAAAACATGATTAATTGGCTTCTCTAAATAATCCTTAGGTGTGAGTGTGTGCGTGAATGGTTGTTTGTCCTGTTTGTCTCTGTGTTGCCCTGCGATGGACTGGCGACCTGTCCAGGGTGTACCCGCCTGTTGCACGGAGACAGCACCCCTCCCGACCCCATGAGGGATAAAGCGTGACAAAAACGGATAGATGGATTGATGGATAATTCATAGCAGCCTTTGTGAAAGTGAACACTCAGAGTTCCCGACTTTAGACTAGATCAATTTAGAGTTGCAGACTTGAATCTGAGTTTTTTTAAACCTGCTTTGTGAAACGGACCCCAGGGCAAAATCCAAATTTAAATCCTTGTACAGGTAAACAAAAGAGACTGAACACTAAAAGTCAGGTCAGATAAACGCTTTTAATTCAAGCGTGTAGGAAATGAAGCAGAAGACAATCAAAGGTAATTGAGCTCTCAAACTGACAGTTTAGAGTATAGCATATTCCACCCAATTAAGATTTTCTAGTTTGAACAGAATTTCAAATATTTAAATTCTCACCATCAATTTATCTAAATATCAAATACTTCCATAAAGGACATTACTGAATGTAAAGAGCCTTAGAAAGCTGGGCAAGACAAAGAAAAGTTGCTGGTAAAGATTCTCAGTCTTCCAGGTCTCAGTCACTCCAACAAAAAAAAAAACAATCCACTGGACTTTGTTTCCAAGTTTGAAGACGTTTCTCTTCCCATCCAGGAAGCTTTTCAAATCAAAATGTTCGAAATAGTGTTGAGTTTGAGGCTTTATAGAGTGTTTTGGCTTAGAAAACATGTATCGGGCATTGCAGGCTAACAAAGACACCAAACGAGCCCCATTCCAAAGGGGTGGACCCGTTCTTCCGGTTCAATTTGCATGTTTTCTAAGTCAAAACAAGTTTTGGGCTACTTTATAAAGCCTCGACCTCATCGCCATTTTCTGACATGTTGAATTGAAAAAGCTTCCTGGATGGGAACGAAACGTCTTAGAAACTTGGATCAAAGTCCAGTGGATTGTTTTTTTATTGTTTTTGGAATCACAACGAAAAGGTTATATCTACTCCATTATAGGGACCTTTTCCAGTCCTAAAAACCACTCATAACCATCCTTAATTGTTCTCAGTTATTCAGCTCATCTAAAGAAAAAATTACGACCAGAGCAGTAAATGTGTTGATGACATGGGGGACCAACTGCGAAAAAATGTGACTTTATAGACCCTGGAACTAAACTACAAACCTCTTTTAATAAGAGGAATCCTTCTAGTTTTTGTGAAGTTAATGCAAAATGTAGAAGTAGTCACTTTACCACACGCAGGTCACAAACAGCATCTGGGGTACTTACTGGAGGTCCTGAAAGACACAGAGAGATAAAACATGGACAGTCAGCATTAATAGAAGATGCTGTGAACAACAGCAACGACAAAAAATACAAAAATTAGAAAGTAGAAAACATTTTGGGGTTTTATTAGTTGAAATATGGACAATCGTAAAGTATTTACAACAAAGTTTTGTTTATGCTTAGAAAACATACAAATGGAAATATACGAAGAGATCCCCCCTTTGGAATGGGGGTCGTTTGGCTTCTTTTGTTAGCCTGCAATGCCCCATACCTGTCTATGTCTCGGAAAAGGGGGTCATTGAAGTTAATTGTCTGGCTGAATACACAATGTCTTCTGTTCCCCTGTAAAGGGGTTGGGGGTTGCGATGATAGCGGGAAGGAATCAACTCAATCGCTGCATTGAAGAATTTTGAATTCTGAGGATGGATGGATGGATGGATGGATGGATGGATGGATGGATGGATGGATGGATGGATGGATGGATGGATGGATGGATGGATGTATGGATGATTGGTGGATGGATGGACGGACGGACATATATAACATATATATTTTAAATATATATATAATTTATATCACTCTTTACATCAATGGCAGCTTCTATCCATCATCCATCCATCCATCCATCCATCCACCAATCATCCATCCATCCACCCATCCATCCACCAATCATCCATCCATCCATCCATCCATCCACCAATCATCCATCCATCCACCAATCATCCGTCCATCCATCCATCCATCCATCCATCCACCAATCATCCATCCATCCATCCACCAATCATCCATCCATCCATCCATCCATCCATCCATCCATCCATCCATCCATCCATCCATCCATCCATCCATCCATCCATCCATCCATCCATCCATCCATCCATCCATCATCTGTAAATCCATCATCCATCCGTCATCCAGAGAAGAGTTAATCCATAAAAAAGACGTAAAAAGAAAAACTCTGACCTATTTCATGTGCCAGACCCTCCTGCGCTGCAGCGAAGCAGAGACTCCTTAGAAGTGACTTATAAATTGTGTTTCTTAGAGTAATTAGGGCAGATTGTCATTAAAGTCCAATTATTCCTGCCTTTCCTCCTAAATCATTCCAGATTATGGAACTATTTGATTTCCTACCTTCATCCATTCTATAGTTGAACTTATTTTTGAAAAATATTTAGATGTAACATCCAGAGATAAGAATCAATCCTAAATAATAAGATAGAGATGCAATCTGTGGTTGGTGAACCATTTTTTGACTCAATGAAGAAATACATGAAGTAGCCTAATAGGTAACTTAATTTTCAAAGGAGCAAGGACAGCAGTTAATGTGAGCTAAAGCACAAAAAGTCATTTAAAAAAGAAACTGGGGTAACTAAAGGCTGCTAAAGTCATGATTTCATACAAAAAATAACATTGATAAGTGTTTTTTACTGACCTATGAAGTCATCTCAACCCAGGCATGTCCAAGGTCGGCACTCGAGGGGCCGCTGTCCTGCAGGTGCTTCCAGCTTCAGCTCAGCTGATTCGGATGAATGCAGTTCAGCAAAACCATGTTTAAAAAACCATCAGTGGAAATCAGCTGAGCTAAAGCTAAAACCTGCAGGACAGCAGCCCCTTGAGGACCGACTTTGAACATACCTGCCTTACATAGCAAAGCAATTAAGCTAGAAGGAGAAGACGAAAATTGAAAAGTGGAGTAAAATAACAGCAATGTGGAGATGAGTCAGAATTACAATGTTTGCTTGAAGACATCATTATTCAGCAGGATTTCAAAGAACATAGTGCTAGTAATGTCAGCAGGGAGGGCATAGTGGAGGCATGGGGGCAGATCAGCTGAAAAGCCAGAATCCCATAGAGGCCAGTCGAGCAGGAGACTGAGAAAGAAGGCTGAACTGTTGCAGAGATGGAGAGTGTTGATGTCGAGGAAGTTCCAGGCGGTACCTGACTGGGAGCCAGTGGATCTGGAGATGGGCAGGAGGGTTTTAGACTAGCTTAAAATTATGATTTGATTCATGTGGGAGACCAGAGGAGAGAAACGCCTCAATCCAGGCAACATGTGCCAAGGGGGGTTGCAATGGAGGCAGGAGTAAAGGACGGGTGCAGGCTAACACAGCTGGGTGATGCTGCTGACCAGGGTTTGAAAAGATTAAAGGAAAACCAGACTCTTAACTGGAATGGAAGGAGAGAGAAATCATCAGCGGTGAGGTGAAAACTAAATGGATTTAGTCCTAGTGTCGAATTTCTATTTTTGTTTATTTCTATAGCTCCAATTCACAACACACGTCATCTCTAGACACTTTACAGTTCACCAGATCACCCAGTCAGATTGATTCAAAGTTTTCTATCTAAGGAAAACCATTGATTGGATCGACTCATTGACTCTTCAGCAATCCCTCCCACTAAACATGCTTGTAGTGACAGTGGAGAGGAAAAACTCCCTTTTAACAGGAAGAAACCTCCAGCAGAACCAGGCTCAGTGTGAGCGGCCATCTGCTGAGGCCGACTAGGGTTCAAGGAGACCGAAGCAGAGAAACAGAAAGCAACCTTAAAAGGCCCCATCCAGGAAACACACAGACAGGCAGACTAGCTCTGAGCCAGCTCCCATGTCAGGGGATGAAGAGAGCACATCCAGCCAGTCACAGTCAGAGAAACAGGACTACACTGAAAAACAGGCCGATCTCCAACATCTAGAAACAAAGGTGTTGATGGCAGCAGCACAGCTGATATTTCTCTCCAGAATGGAGTCACAGCCAAACAGGAACAGACAAGTGTTGAGAAAGGTAAATAAAAAAAAGGCTTTTATTTTGTGTAAACCCTTTGATGGATTAGAAGTAGGGCTAGGGATCGTCCGGATAATGGCAGGTGGTAATTATGAACAGGAAAGGGCCAACGGAAGCCTCAAGCTGCGTTCAGACTGGGTGCGTTTTCTGCATCAATGTCTGATTCAGTGTCTGAAATTAAGTTTCCATCTTTCTGGATGGCTTTATAGTTGATTTCATCAGTAGATGTAAAAAATCAACCAACCAAGCATGTTTTACTGGCCAAAATATTAGAATAAAGAAAGAAAGGGATGAATGTACATGCACTCAATTTCATCCATTTTTCTAGAACAATCAAACTATGTACAGTACCTTTATCTTTTTTTCTTTTCTAGCAATAAAATAGCAATAAAACCAGTTCACGTTTTGGATTTTAAAGTAAAAAATAATGGGGAAAAAAAGATGGAAGGGCATGAATAGTTTTCTGTGGCACTGTGATCAATAGAAGCCAGGTGCATGATTGTTGGTTATGCTTTGTGAAATGTTTGCCATGAGAGGCTGTCCTCAGCCCATCTATGGCACACTGACTCACACAGCATGTGGCATTTATGCTACGTTCAGACCTCAAGCATCAGAGGCAGCAAAAACGCTTGTGCTGCTTCATTTTTTATGCTTGTAAAAGTTTAGTTCTGACGAGCAGCTGAAGCATCTTTGCTGGATGGGTCTGATGTGTGTTGGGCAGAGCTACCCTATCCTTTCATTGCCTGTAACAATGGCAGCTATAGCTGCTGTGATTAGTGGGTCAAAAGTAGTTTTGGTTTGTTTTTAAGTGAGAAAGTCCTGAAAACATGGTTTGTGTGGTCAGTTCATCCAGATCACCATCCTGCCTTCAAATATTCCGCTGTTGGAGCCGCTCAGACCCCCACATACTGGGAATCCCCAGCTGCAGCTGCCTCAGGCCCACTCGCTTCTTCACTGTTTTGTCCTACAGTTCGCGGCGGCTGGAAGTAGATGTTAGCGTTTTTCATGTACGTAATCCAAACTGCACCAGAATACTAAAAGTGAACATGTTTTGTCAGCAGTTTCCCAGCAGCTGCTGCTTTCGCAGCGCGTCAGATGCTCAGAAGCTCATGAGGCGCTGCTACAGCCACACAAAACAACTGCGGGACCTTTTGCTGCGCCGTGATGCGTGTCAACCATTGGTTTTGCATGTAAACTAGCTGCTTCTGCTGCTTTAGGTGTGAATGTAGCATTACTCTGTTCGTGTTCACCGATCGTCTCCAGTTTCATTCTTTCAGTGCCCAACACAAACAAACAGTTTCTGTTCCTATCTTTGGTAAACTGGTGACACATGGAGCAGCTCATTTGCATCATTAGCATAGCCTCGTAATCATAGTACAGCCAGTTTCTGACAACACCGCCATCTTCAAACTATGTAGGATATAGATCTAGTGTTCCATCAGACCAGCATACCTATAGCCAATACGGAATGAGCAGGACGTCAGATTTGTGTTTATCCCTTTAGTTATGTACAAAAAATAGACTTTAAACTACCTCAGTGGGCGGGTATCCTTTTAGACATGTAAAGAAAAACGATTTAATGTGAGATCGCCATACGCTTCAAAAAACACCAAAAAATACATGATTAAATTGTTATTTTGTACATGACTAAAGGGAAACATGTCCGTTGAGGTAGTTTAAAGTATATTTTTTGTTCAAAACTAAAAGGATAAATTAAAGCAGAGGTCTTCAACAGGGGGTCCGTGACCCCTAGGGGCTCCACGGAGGAGCTGGATGGGGGTCGCATAAGTTTTGTTTGATAAGACCTTTTTTTTATATTCCCCCTGCAATTTTTTCCGCTAATTGAAATGTCTTTAAATCCACATTTACAGGAATTTAACACACTGTAGTAAACAGATAAATGGAGGCAGAAGATGTCTTTCAAGCTTTCACCACCTTTACCATCAAAGAGGAATCCGAATCAGAAATACTTTAATAATCCCAGGGTGAAATTACTTTTGTTACATTACTCCATCTGTACTAAAGTGACTATAGGACCAGTTTGATATAATACAATTTAATACAATATATATAATCAGGGGGTCCCCGCTCCATCTAGCCATCAGTTTGGGGTCCTTGGCCTGAAAAAGTTGAAGACCCCTGGTGTAGGATGTAGGTCTGGTGTTCTGTCAGACCAGCATACCCATAGTCAGTACGGATGCGCAAGAAGTCAGATTTGCATTTATCCCTTCAGT